TAAATTTTAAATTTGTATTTATTAATTAGTATTTTAATTAAATAAATTAAAATAATTATTATTAATAACTAAAATTATCAACTTATTTTACTTTTTTTAAGATAGATTATAGTGGTGTAATTGTTGGTGTGCATCATTTTCCTTTTATGTTTCGATTGCCATTAAAACACAACTACTATTACCAGAAAGTATACGATGACAAAGTAAAGAATGACGAATTTTACAACTACTAACTCAGTAATACCTACTTACTCTAGCTTCAACTTTTACCCAATTCATTATGCGCATTATTTCTACCTTTATAAATTATGAAAAGTAAAATTAGTTATGTTCATTACCAACCAAACAAGATTTCAAACAGAAGAAAACTAGACGTTCGTTTTCCAATTATATTTACTAGGAGAAACATACACATTAAATCATGTTTAAATTTTTTTTATATTATTAATTATTTTGAAAAAAAAATTCTTTGCAACCTAATTAGTTGACAAATATTATGAACTTGGTTTAAAAAACTTTGAGCATTTTTTTATTTGGAAAGTTGTATTCATTTATTTCACCCTGCAGACAGAGTTAATTGTTGGTTGTCATTTTGTGTAGCACACGCCAGCCTACGCACCAAAGTCTGAGAGTCTGGTGTTTGAGACTCATAATGCCATCACCTAACTGCGCCACGCAGAAAGAAAGGGGTCAAATAGTAGACTGCACATAAGACGCAAACATCCACATAGACATAGTGAAAAGATCTAAAAAAAATGAGATACAATATTGGTCATGTTATTTACTCAGATGTTTAACATTAATATTAAAGGAATAAATAATATATTATTAATAAATAATAAATAAATATAAAATAAAAAAATGAAAAAATGAAAATATAAAATTGTAAATATATACTTAAATATATTAAATGATCATTAAGTTTGAAGTAACAAAATCATAAATTATATGAGAGTTACAAAATTGAGAATGAAGCTGAAAGGATAAAATTATAAATATAAAAAATATATATTAAATTTTGATTAAGTTTTGAGAGGCCAAAATCATAAATTACATGAAAATTATAAAATTTTGGGAGACCACGATATCCTTAAACTCCAAAAAAGATAGTATTAATTTATTTGGTATTATTATTACGTTAATATATCAATTGATTTAAGTTATGAAGTGTGTACTGCATATTTTTATGTCATTTTTGTAGTAATCGTTTGAAAAAGATTAATGATATTTTTTTAATTATGATATAAAATTTGTTTTATTTATTTTAGAATTATTCTTTTTTCTATCTGATATTTTTTTAATGACAGTGACAACAACTGTGTAACAATCTTTTTGAATATTTTTCCATCACAATGAAATGGTAATGGTATTATTATTGTATCTTATTGTCGTTTTAGACATTTTTTTTTTACTAAATTGAAGTATTTTAATATTTATTATATAATTGAGATTAGTGTTTCATCTCTATGTTTTTTTATAATTAAAGTTTTACTATTTTTGAGATTTGAATCACAACAATACATGAATATTTTTATTGTACAGTTATTGTTTAAAGTTAATTAAGAATGAAATTTATAGTGTTTAATTTTAAAATTATTTTTATTTCATTTTTATGTATTATCTAAGAGGTCAACTACCGACTCTTGTACTAGATAAACCTTGTATAAAATGGAGATAAAATTTAAAGAAAAATGAAATTAAATATATAATTTTTATAGTGAGAGTTTGACGAAAAGTTTAAATCTTTTCTTCATTCTTAACAACGTACTCAAATAATACTATATACAATTTAAGATGTATTAGAATAAGAGTTTTTCCACATATAAGAAGCTTGAATCTCTCTTTTTCAACTATACATCAAATCAATGTCTTAGTGTGTTAAAGTAATATGCTTCATTAATTTTCTCTTTCTTTATCAAATTAACTCCTTCAAAATGCAAGTTCAAATCGAAATTTTGACTTGTTCCACCAACCAATTGTTCATCCCTTTTACAACTTCATTAGTTGAAATACGTTTATCTTCATTATTAGACACACAAAATTATGTCTAATCTTATATCAGTACAATGTAAATTTACATTAATTCATTATTTTAATGTAAATTTTGGTCTCTCGTGTTAACATTCGAACTTAGTGAGATTAAAAAGTATATTGTATAATGACACCAACATGTATATTATTATATCATTATATTTTAACTTAATTGTCAAAATATCTTTTACATATAAATTAATAAGAAAGAAAGTTACGGAATATTTTTGGAAGAGTGACTTGAATTTATTCTAACTGTTTGAATTGAAAGATAAATTTAAGGAGTGAAAAAAAGAAAAAAATTAAAAATGAGATTGTTTGGAAAAAAATTATAGTGAAAAAAAGTAAAAAGAAATTATAATTAATAAGATTGATTTAACTAATTAAAACTTTAAATAATAAAATAAATTAATAAATAATTAAAAGTATCTTTTATATAACTTCAATAAAAATAAAAATAAATTAAAGTTAAGATAATTATCTAATAAATAGATAAATATAAATAAAATTTAAAATTACTTTATATATAACTTAAAAAAACTATGATACTTTATAATTTAATTTTAAACAATTTCAAAATAATATTAAATTATAGATATTATTTTAAAACTAAACTATTATAATATATTTTTCTTTAATATGATTATTTTAAAAATTTTAATGTGATATTTAAAATTTATAAAAAAATATTTTAAAATAAGTTAAAGAATATTTAAAAAAAATATAATTTTCAAAATAACTTAATGATTTTACCGTGAAAAAAAAGATGTTTGTTTTATAATAAGAGCTTTGAATCACTACTTACTTATCATTTTAATTTATTTTCATATAATTTATAATTAAATATTATTAAATAATTTTATTTTAGATTTTAAAAATTAATTATAATCAGTAATTATCTTATAATTGGTTTTCAAAATTTTACAATTGTTTTATTTTTATGAATGTGAATCAATCCATTATATAAAGTAAAGTTAACTGATTGAATGGTGAGAAAAGTTAATCAATTATAAATGTTTATATAAGAGTAAATATTAAAAAAATATATATTTTTGGTAACATTATTTTATTATTTATTAATGATATATTATTTAATAGAAAAATCCGCAAGTAATAATAACATTATAAGTAAAACCGTTTCCAAGTTTGAACCCTACTTATTAATCTCCCTTAACCTATGCATACAATTCAATGCCCCTAAAATGTCAAATGTTTCATGCAACCAAACCATTGACTTTGCCATGCTTACTCTATTATTCTTCCTCAAAAATGGGTGTTTTATGGAAGTTATTATTTTGTTAGTTATGTTTTGTTTTCTACTTTTAATTTTAGAAGGAATAGCTTCCTTTTTCTGCAATTTTTTTAAATGTTTTTTTTGATATATCTCATAAGAGCAAAGATACTAAAAGAGAAGGCATGTGTGGATAAGCTTCATTATAATTTTTTTGAAAAAAAAACTTTATAAATTAAAATTAACTTATATTATACGTAAAAGTTTAAAAAATAATTAAAATTTGCATAAATTTTATAAAGAAAGTTATTTAAATTTTTTATTTTAAAAAGTGTTTGTGGTGAAAATAATAAAAAAACCCGTTTTTGTGTGGTGGATGTCAAGCATTAATATATAATTGAGTCCTTTTTTTTTACAATTAGTGATTTTATATACTTTTAAATTTAAAATTGAAAGGATAATTAAAATTAAGGGATCAAAATTGCATAAAAAGAAATTCAAGAACTAAAATAACATATTTATAAAATTTAAGAGATTAAACTTGCGAATTTTATAAAACATAAAAATCAAAATTAAAATTTTTATGCTATGTCATCACTTTGTTAGAATTTTAACATATGGTAAAATTAAAATATTTAATGATGAAATATGTAAAAAGAAAAATAAATGATAAAATTAGTAAAATAATAATAGTATGTGCTAAATTTTATCGTTAAATATATGTGCTTAATTTGATTTAATTTATTTTCAATCCAAATCCAAATAAAATCAGAGTTAAGAAAAAACATTTTTTTAATATATTTTGTATGGATTCGATTTTGAAAATCTATAGCAACTCCATTTTCTATATTATTTTTATTAGTACAACATTTGAATAAAGACACCCAAATTGGTGTTCAATTATGGAATCAAAAAGTGCTCCACAATTAATGTGACTTAATACAACAATGAAATTAAATTAATCGCTAAATTAACTTAAGTGCTACCAAAATAATGTTACAAATTTATTCCATTTTCTCAAAGATTCTACCAAAAAAATATTATGTATTCTAAAGAATATTCTACCAAAAATTAAAATATATTTTTGGAATTTTATTTACTCTTCGCAAATATGCATGTTATCTATTATTTTTCAACCCCAATCACTATTGTTTTTTCTTTATCTAACTTTTCTTAACATACTAAAACTTTTAATCTTTATTTTATCCCTATCTCTTAATTCATATTCAAATCTTTGTTAAAATAAAAAAAATTAACCCCATTTCAAGATTTAAACTATTTATGTTAAGGTTAACATAAAATAAATTCCAGACCAACCATAAAGTACTTTTAACCCAACTAAAAGTAATTTTTGACCTATCATAATAATCGAAAATATGTTAGACTAACGTTCCAACATAAAATCAATCGTGAACCTTACCAATAAGACAGGTGACTTGGTCTTTCAACAAATACAAATCTAAATTATTCCTTTATTTAAAAATCTTTGTCCAATCTATTACCAAACTAAGAAAAAGCTTTTACTTCAAAATGATCGAATTAACATTACTTTTTTTATTTAAAATCATCAAATTAATGCTAGTTACCAACACCTCAATCTCAAATTATTAAACAAAATACGAATTCAGCATTTAAAAAATATTTTTTTCCTTTGCAAATTGCAATGAACTGTGTGGACTGTACAAAGGGAGAAATGATTATGTTTTTTCTCGAAGAAAAAAAAAATCTGCAAACGGAAATGGACAAAAACATAATCACCGTACCACGGTCCGCAAAATCAACGGTTGTGCGCCACCCTCCCGAAATCCGCGAGCTTGCGCGACCGGTTCGCGCAAAACGACGCCCCAGATGATATGTGGTGGAGCCCACCGGCGCTCTTTTCCTGGGCCAACCCTTTATTAGTGTTATTATTATTATTATTATTGTTACCGTGGGTCCAATGCCGGTTCGGATTCGCCCGAACCAACGGACTCAGACAGAACGCCATGCTCGTCGTCAGTCCTTTCGCTCCGCCGCCGGAACTAAACCTCCGCCGCCGATGCGCTGTCGCCGGCGTCGGATTCGGCCTCTGCGGCGAGCACTCCGTCGAATTCCCCGAATCAGACCTCTCCTGCGCCGTTTCCACGCCGAAATTCGCCGCCGTAGGCGGCGACAGCCCTCGATCCCCGCGCCGGCATCTCCATCTGTGGGTTCCGCCTTCGTGGTGACGGCGCGCGGGGAGAATCGTCGTAAACCACGACGACGTCGTCGCCGTCCGTTCCTCGCACGGTTCCTGATGCGAGACCTCCGTCTTGTTCGATCTGGGGCGAAAGAGGTTCGAGAGGTTCCAGAACCTTCTGCCGTGCCTCCGCTTCTCGGCGGCAGCGCATCCGTCGTCCGCGGCGGCGTCAACCTGCGGCGTGCCGAAGAAGAGTTCCTCTCGGTTGAGGTCGCAGTCGGATTTCCGGTGCGCGACGTAGGGAGATACCGAGCGCGGGAAATTGAGCGGCGCTGGTTTCTCCTCCTCCGACTTGGTCTTGTGCTCGCGATGATGAGATGCGTTTCCGCTGGATTGGGCTTGGGCTTGGACCTGGGCTGCGAAGATAGGCTGGAGACGTTCGCGGAGGCACGAAGCGCAAACGCCGATGGTGCTGGTGAGGTCAGGCAAGTGCTTCTTACACCTCATTGTTGCGTTTTATTTAAAACACGACACCGTTTTCGCGTTTTATCTTTTATATTGTGCGAGCGATTGTGTCGTTGCGAGTTTCGGAGAGAAAAAAGGTGAAGAAGGATCCGACGAAGAATTTAAAGGAAAAGCTTTGTCTTGTTCTTGAAAAACAAATATGGAGAGGGAGAGAGAGAGAGAAAAAAGGGTTTGCTTAGTGTGGGTTTCAACGTAACAGAGAATGGGAAATGAAAATAATAAGAGAAAAATGGTTGCAGAGAGAGAATATAAGAATTTTTGGGAGATAACAGAGAGGGAAAGAGAGGGTCAAAGAAAGTTACTTGGCATGATGGATAAAGATAGAGCACCAGCTTTGTTAACAAGTTGGATAAGGAAAGGGTGTGCTTGTTGATTACAACACCCATTAGGGTGTGTCTTATTGCTATCCATTAATTTTGTAACGGGTACTTAATTAATTAATCAAAATAGAAAATTTCAAAACCATTACTTTTATAGGTATTTCTTGTTTCTTGATGAAAATAGGTCTCTTATTCAATGGGTTTTCAAAAATCATATTTTAATAATGAAAATTGTTTTGTGGTATTGATATAGTTTAACCGCTGGTGGTGATGGGAGGTGGAGAGAAATTTTTAATGGGTTTGATGAAATATTAAATTTAGAGAAAAAGTAATGGGAAGGGTGTTGACTTTTGATTAGATATTTAAGATAAGATAATTATAATGATTAATTGATGTAATGGTTTGTCTTTGCGGGTATCTTGCTTTATGGACATAAATTATTGTTTTTTTATTGTTTGTGCTTTAGCTTTTGATTTCTTAGTCGTATTTATTTATTGAAGTTATTATCTTTTATTTAATAGATGAATCATATTAAAAAAATGTTTGTGAGGTTCATTAAGATGTATTTACTAACTTTTCTTTTGAAAATAGATTAATTTTTAAAGTAATTTGAATATAACTTGTTATTACTTTTAAATAAAAAATGTACGTGGTTTAACAACTCTCTTATTCATTTAATTATTGTTTAATTACCAAGTCTATTCCCTGATTTATACGTGACCGTTGTTTTGCTTGAAATTTGTTAACTTTTTTTAATCATTTTTATATAAAATTCAGGACGCTACATTACTTATATATATAATTTAAATAGTCTTTTCTTTTTAATACAGGACTTTAAATAACGAGAAAATAATTGTATTCTTAACTTCAAATATAAGAAAAAATATTTAGTTAGCATCAATTAAGAATGATAGTTAAGTTTTGTTAATGTTGGTAGTTTCATAAACTTAACATGTATGTTTATGAAATTACAACTTAATAATTGGGATGATAATAAAATTTAAAGTATATTGCAAATAATAAAATTAAATAAGACAGAGGAGTTTCAAATTTATATTTAAGACAACAAAATAAGATTATTTCTTTTGTTATATTTGAATTCAGACAACATATGTGTACGATGAGGTAATTTTTTTAATATTATTATTTAATCACAAAAGTGTTATATGTAATAATTTTATTGATTTTAAAATAATTATACCAAAATTATTTTACAATTGTTTTTATTATAATAACATATGAAATTAAATTCTTATAAATTTTTAAATAAAATTTTCAAATTATTTACATTTTTATACCTCAAAACTTTCATTTGCATTTTCTTTACATAGTGTGTTTTGGTTGGACGTAAACTTCAATAACTTACGCCGTGTTTGAACCTTCACAGGGACGTTAATTTGGTGGACCTAGTCGTCTTTAAATTGTTTCATTTACAAATTGAATTTTTAATCAAATTAAATTATTCTTAAATATTCACTTAGTCTTATTTTTATTTTTCTGAGATATTTGTGTTATTCCGTAGCTTTTTTAAAACGAAATATTAATTTATTTTCATAACTATACTGTGCTTTCACATGATTTTTCCACCACCCCATTGAGAAATTTAGATACACGAATGTGACGAAACAACCAATTTAATTTCATGAAATTTAATATTATTAAGAAATTAAATCAAAGAATCACGACATTTAAAGAACAGTAACATTAAAATACGACACTTTCTGCTTCTCTATCCAAAATGTCACAGTCCTCTCTTTGAAATTATTACGCATCAAAGTTTACTTTATATTAATGAGAATAAGTCCTCATTTTTTTTAACAAATTAACTCATAAAATTATTTGTAACATATGAAAGATTAATTAATTTTTTTAGAAATTCTTTAAGAAAAACTGTAGTTTAAGTCCAAATAGATCCACCTCCTTTAGTTTAAAATGACAAACTTCTTTATTCCTTATAAGATGATTTGATAGTTTGGTGAAATGAGACACCAAGAGGGTGAAAATGTTTTGTAAATTTATCTACCTAATTGGTTGGTCAGTCATAACTCACTCTAAATTAAATATTGCAATTTGGGGGAAACAAATGTTAACTATGGACGATGCTAAAGTTTGTTTCTTGTACCAAAAACTTAAGATTGTTTTTACCAACAATTAGTTGAAGTTGTATTTGCACGTTTAATGAGGAAGATGTTCTTAACCAATTCAATTGGCATTTTTGTTTTCAAGAGAAGGGAAAGTATTTTGTATGCAGTAAATGCTAATGAAGGCGTTTATTTATTATGTGTAAGAACTTTTGTTACAAAGTTGCAGGACGCTCTTTATTTTGTTTGTTAACCGACACAACCTCGCATTTACAATACAACTAAGTTTTAAAAGAAGAAGAAGAAACATTTGAGTTCTCTCACAAAAAGAAATAAATCATTTTAAATGTATTATTTATTATTTCTCATAAATTAAAATGTGCAATATATAATTTTCGCATCTAGAGTTTTTTTTTTCTCTTCAAACGTGTCTAACTGCTTTGTTTTTATCTTTATTTCTTTTTTTCTCTATCTTAAAAATTATATTTCCATATTTTAAAATTTGATATAAAAATAATGTATTATTTAATTAAATTATTTATTAAAATATTACATATAAATTATATTTAAAATAATTTTTATTATAAAAAGTTATATTATATATATATATATATATTTATTTATTTATTGCTTGCTAAAGAAGTTATACTTTAATTATCTAATCACAATTTTCCGTGTATATAGTACATTTTGCTGCGTGTTATATCAATTATCTTAGAAACTCATCATTGCCACCTTATTATTTATTAATAGTATAAAGTATTTTACATTTACATTGTATAAATCTTAAGCTCTTAAAAAAAAAAAAAAAAAAAAGATAATCAAACCTATTGTCATAGGAAGCTTGTATTATCAATTTAGCAACCTAATTGGTTGTGCTCCAGTAATATACAATAAATATTACAATTTCATTTTTTAAACAATGGAGAAAGAAGGTTCAAGGCAAAATTGATAAAACAATATACTATATATATATATATATATATATATAGTTGCGGATCTGACCATTAATCTTGGGACCAAATAATATATTATTAATAAATAATAAATAAATATAAAAGAAAGAAAGAAGATGAGAAGGTAAAAAGGATAAAAGTGTAGATATATACTTAAATATATTAAATGATAATTAAGTTTGAGGGGACAAAATCATAAATTATATGAGAGTTACAAAACTAAGGAAGGGATTGAGAGGATAGAATTGTAAATATACAAGTAAATATATTAAATGTTCATTAAGTTTGGTGACCAAAATCATAAATTACATTGAATTTAGCAGACTACGGTCCCTTCAAACTTTCAAGAAGATTCGTCGCTCTCTCTCTCTCTCTATATATATATATATATATAATCTATGCAGCAGAATATTAGAAAAAGAATCAAAGAATATAATAAAAAAACACACCTCAGAGAAAAAGATAAAAGCATGAAAGAACAATTGTGTGTGTGGTTGTGCAATGGTGAAAAAAAAAATTTGTGTGGTGTGGTTTGTACGATTAAGATGATTAAGGTGAAGATGAATGAGGGTAGTATGATCTGGCCGATTAAGGTGAGGGTGAGTGAAAGTTTTATTTTCTTTTAGTCCTCCCTAAGTTGGAGGTTAAAAAATGTCATGAAGCAAGTTTGGAAAGATGGGATTAAAACAATTTTGGAAGAAGGCTTTGGTGAACGTGTCCACAAATTCATGAGCTTGAAATGAAGTTTTTTCCCAGAAGTGTTTTGTTCTTTCACGAAATAATGGATTTGCAACTTATTGCAATATAAGGAAACAAGCTTATTTAACGAAACATGTAAATCTCTCAGTAAATAGAATAACCATTGAAGACTGAGGTAAGAGTGGTGTATTCAGTTTCCGTAGAGGATTTTGAAACAATAAATTGCTTTTTTTGTTTTCCCTTCCAAGAGAGTAGGAAATTGCCAATGAAAAACAATATCTGGTGATCGAGTAGCAGGTGTCAACACATGTGGTCAATCCACATCACTAAAATCAATTAATATAAATTTTAAGCTCTTTTTTAAAAGAAAAAAGATAGTCAAACCTATTGTCATAGGAAGCTTGTATTAATTGACCAATTAATTACAAGTTTAATGGTTATATTATATATATATATATATATATATATATATATATATGTATATATATATTATTATTATTATTATGTTTGGACTATATTATATATTGAGATAAATAAGCAACTTTTCTACGCATTCCACACAGTTCAAAAATCAAGCTAGATGTCGAAATCTTGAATATTTCTGATGATGGGACTTTTTGGGAAATGGAAGCATTGATGTACTTTGAAATTTTAGATAGTGGAGATAGATAACCATTTTTTTTTAATTTTATTTTTATCTATTTTTAACTGTAAATACAATATAAAGTATTCCATGTATATAAAAATCATTATTTTTAACATATATCAATAATCATTTTTTAAAATTTTATTTTATCTATTTTTAACTGTAAATATGATATAAAGAGTTCAATGTATATAAAAATCATAATTTTTTAATATATATATCAATAAGTTTTACATGATTTAAAAGTTGAAGATTAAAAAGTAAGGTTAGAGTTATATTTTATTTTGGACCTTAATATATATAATGATATTTTGTCTAGATCTTATATTTATTATAATATTATTATTATTAAGATTAATGTATTTTTTATTTTAAAATTTTAATATGTTATAATTTTATTATTAGAAGATATTTAAGTAAATTGAGAGATAAATGAAAATAAATTATTATTGACCTTAATTTTTAAAAGATATAAAATTGATGAATCTATCAAATAAATTATTAAATAATTTAGATGGGATTGAAATAATTTTCTTAATGTATTTTAACTTGGATAAAAAATAAAAATGAGGAGGTTTAGATAACACGTTAACTTAATGATATAATAATATTAGTTTAAAAACTAAATAAGGAGTGGAGTGAGTACTAATTAGAAGCACCATTTCATGGCCCTCTCTAATTATTATTATTATTATTATTATTATTATTATTATTATTATTATTATTATTATTATTATTATTATTATTATTATTATTATTATTTTCTCCAATTGTTATGATGAGAGGAGTTTGTGTGAGAGAGCATATGTGAAAATAAATGACAATGAAATGTTTGTGTAACTTTCTTTCAACGCCATGTTTATTAACACCACATACAATATGCTATGCACAAAGTTTGGTTTATTATTCATTTTTTTTTCTTTCTTATTTTGAGTTAAAATTGTCAGCAATTGATAAATTAGAGATTTTGTTTTTCAACATTTATGCTTTATTTGTTTGTACAAATTAAAAAGAAAAAAATACTGAAAGGTGATAATTATTGTCTTTCAAGATATAAAATTTACAAAAATAAAAGAATAATAATACAATTTTTTTCTTGCCCCTTATAAAAAAAATTTGTGTATCAACAGAACAAATATAATTAGTAAATAAAATTTAAAAAAATTCATTTAAGTAATTTTTTTAAAATATATTATTTATAAAATTGATTCCATTTTCATAATTTAATCTAAACACATTTTGATTAATTAAGCCACGTTATTTTTTTTATTATTAAAAAAGAATTATATAAGATACTTATAAGAAAATTTACATTCTTAAATTACCAATTATTTTAAGTTATTAAAAAATTGTAGAAGTTTTCAATTTGTAAATTTACTTACTGAAATGGGGTATGTACTTTAGTTTAAAAAAAACATAATTATATGTTTATATTGCACTTTAACGGTTTTATTATTGAAATCGGCACTCATGATTATTATAATAACATTTTCTATAGATTAATTATCCAACTTTCTATTAGTAATGTAGCTTCTTCTTCTTTTTTTCCATTTTCAAACTCGGTTTTCTTAACATTTTATATAATCATTCTGTTTAATAATGGTTGTCAATATTTTTTATACAAAAATAATTATTGATGACAATTATTCTTTCACATTTTATAATTTTTTACTTTCTATTAAATATAAAAAAATCATAATAAAATTAATATTATCAATGATGGTGAGGGTAAAAAAAACGTAATAATAATATTTCTTACATGTCACTTAAAAATTTTACATATAAACAAAAATAATAAAAATGAAATTCAATATTATTAATAAATTCATAATTCATCTATTATTTTTCAAGTTCCATCTAGAAGCCTTCCATAATTGAATGTTTCTAAATGTACTCAATTATCGGATATAGTCATCAACTTTATTATTCTTTAGTTTTTTTCACTTTTATTATTTTTAAAAATTATCCTATTAACATAATTTTAACATAATATAATAATAATAATAATAATAATAATAATAATAATAAATAAATAAATAAATAAATAAATAAATGATGTTAATAATGAATAAGAGTAACTATTTTTTTAATATATGATTAAAATTTCATTTGATTCGAATAGGTTGATAAGTCACCAAAATGATTATGAATGACATTTTGTACGATAATTAAAAAAAATTATAATAATGTTGCTGCTTTAATTGTTATTAAAAATTTATAAATTAATTAAAGTTTTGAACTGTCATCCTAAATAAATTACCCATAAGACGATGATTATATTTATAATTATTATTGTAAGTCAAAATCCTCATTTTGTTCTGTTCTAGCCATCTAAATAAATTATACATAAGACGATGATTATACTTATAATTGTTATTGTAGGTCAAAATTCTCAATTTGTTTTGTTGTAGCAAAATCTAGAAAATCTACCACAACAAACAAATATATTAAATAACAAATCTAGAAGTTTTGTCACGACAACACTACTACTTTATTGTTACTCTTCATCAACCAAAGCTTCAACTACTCCCCTGTTTCTCCACCACAACAAACTTGGAGGCTTTCACAATTTTCTTATTATTTCCTTTTTTACTCACCTTCAACGCATCCAATAAAAGATTATCCTTTACCTTCACCTCAATAAAACATTGTTATCTATCTCTGTCATAACAAAACATTGTATTTGAGTATTGTTCTCCCTTATGATAATTTTAAGTGTGTTAGAGATATTTACGGTAGAAAGAAACACTTTGAGAAGGAGAGAAAAAGACAAAATAAGAATAGAAAAGTTGAATATGACGAATAAAGGAAAAAGAGAGAGAGTTGTAACGAAGGAAGAAAAGAGAACAAAAAGGAAAGAAGAAGGAAATAGAAGTTAAGGTACACAGATAAAATGAACAAAATGGATGAAATTGAAAATTTTAACGAGATACATGAAGACGGTTTTGTAAATAATCATAATCGTCATCGTATATAACTGTTGGAGAAAATACACATGTGAATCTAAATTTCATATTGAGTAAGAACGATAAAATTGAATAACATATAATAAGTAAGATCCAGAAGTTAATGTTTACGATTTTAAGTTGAGAAAAAGTGATGTCAATCTTTTATATAGGTGAGTTCATGTCTCATTAATTTTATTTAAAATTATTATCACATTATTTTTCAACAATTTTATCGTTAATTATAACTTTTTTTTTCAATAAACTAATGATAATCCGTTGAGAAAAGAAGACACCAATTGTAATATTAAATGACAATCATAAGATAAAAAAATGTTTTTTTTAGGAAATTAAATTTATAAAACTTCTTTTTAAGTTTTGAAAATAGATGGTAAAATATTTCAAAATTGAATTAAAATCTATTTCAGTTATATTCTTTATATTTGTTTACAAAATTACATTTAAAACTCAAAAAATGAAAAAAAATCTCAAATATCCTAAACATACTCCTAACTTTTAAGTAAACTAGAAAACCTTAAAACCCCAATAGAGCAAGGCACTGTATGCTATATTTGTAATAATGACATTTCTTTACCCACGATGACCTGCCTTAGGTTAGTGGTACATGTTGGTGGTTGGCTTTGGTTCAGTGCTCACAAAGCTTCCTGTGATGCCCATTCAGGTTATCATAAAGTCTCAACTCAAATCTAAACTTTGCTTCCAAGTTCGAAATATCTTGGTATAAAGAAAGGACAACAACAAGCATTAACAATGATGATAATAGAAAAAATCAACAATCATTCAATATATTCTAGAAAGGCACAAGAAAAGGTTATTAGTGGAGTGTATCATGGATAAAAAAGTTTAAATTTTTATTCTCCTTATGTTTTAGTACAGAAAAGCATTTTACACCGAAGAATTTTCCTTATTAAGCTGGCTAAAATATTTTTAAGCCGTTCCAAACATAGCGTTAAGAGAATTTTATTTAGAACTCAAAACATTTTATTGTGAAATATAATGTTTTGCATCGAGAATTTAGGAACAAATTAAAATTTTACAAATTTCTGAAAGTATTTTTGATTATTTAAAAATATAGAATTTTAAATTGCACAAAAATAAGAATTTGGATTAATTATATATATTGTTTGAAGTAGAATTAAATTACCCTATCTAAACTAGGAATTTAAAATTTGAGAAATTTAATTTGATTTGTCCAAACAAAATAATTCTAATTGCAAGAATTTAAAATTTCTTAAAAATTTAAAATTTTCGTTTCAAATACAGCAAAAGAAAACGGCTATGTTTCTTTTGTCTCAACGTAAACCTTTTTTTTTTTTTTTTTTTACTGATAGGTATATTAATATTTCTACATTAATTTACAAGTATGAAAACATAAATTTTTCTATTACGCCTATGTTGCCACGATTAAAGACCATATTCAAGGTTGACTGAATTATTTTAAGATTGTATGTGAGACTTGTATAATTATTGAGATGTCATCAATAACATGATCTTGCTACAAACACATTGAAATGAAAGTGTTAATTTGAATAAATTTTACTTATAATTTTATAGGTTTTAATTAATTATAGACAAAAGTGTGAAAGTGAGTTAAGTAGCTTTACTTAAGTTGTGTTGAACTTTATAATGGACTAATCCCACTTTATAATGGACTAAATTATCACTAGCACACCAGATATTTATGGGTTTAGTGGGTTACTTCACCAACTTTTTAGAAAATAAACACAGACACCTTCAAAATCACGAACATTTTATTTTTCAGATACATTGTTTTTGGTGTTTGTATTAGACTAAAATTTATAAATTATTTTAATCTATCAAACAAAAAGTATATTTGTAAAATGTAACTTTTTAATTTTAATAAAATAGGTCAACTAAGTTCAACTCAGTTCGAATCTGGTTTGCTTGGAAGTTAAATGTGTCAAGTAAACATTTAAAATCCTAATTGAAGTAAAAATAAAGAGGTTATTTCTTCCTCTATTCCAATACTCTTTGCCTACACTTATTCTAAATTCCGGAATAAGTAATTTCAAATATACAATTTTTTTATTCTTAACTAACCTTTTTTTTTCAATGAAAGAAGACACCCCTTGTAAATTCTCCAGAATGAAGACGCTACACTTCAAAATTAACCTGTTTGTAAAAGCAAAAGGGCATAAACTGATATTGGGATGCAAACAGAAAAGACCAAATAGAAATTACGCATAACACACATCCAAAACTAAGAAAAAAAAGGTGATTTTTAATATTTTTTTTAATATTAAAGACGTATATTACTATTCAAGAAGACAAAAAAAACATGATATAATGATGTAAGGTAAGTAGACAGAAGGAGGTGTATATAGTATGCATGGCTCTACAAAGGAGTTGTGACATAATGATATTGACGTGACAAGGGCACGAGTCGTTGTGGTATAGCCATACTTAAAGTGTTGAACATAGTTGACGTCCTCCTCTATCGTAGCAGAATGAGAAGAAATTCAGAAATCACATGTCTTCAACATATTGTAGAACCAAATTCGGAATTCACGTGTCTTCCACAAATTGTACGACCAAAAAATGTGAATTATTGGACATCAAATACAGTGTTGTAGTCTCTACAAACACACGTAACTATCAAACATCATGCTCGATGTGTTTCTGCACTAGACGCCCCCTAATACACTTTTTAATGGTGCTTAATGTGAAACCATGTTAATATTTTAACAACACTTTTATGATGACTGTTTCTTTCGATTTTATAGCCTTTAATAATTTCAATCAAGAATAGAATGTGTACTAAAAATTGTTTTGTTGGTATTTTCCTGAGTAAATGTTGGTAGAATATAAATTTTATGATAAAATAAAAAATTAACACTAAATTTTACTATGAGTTTACATTTGCAATAGAGGTTTTTAAATGCAAATCACTTCGAGTAAGTAAGCGAAAAGTTACTCCAACAATGTAGTTATAAACCCAAGTTATGCAGAAGTATAAGACAAAAATAAAAGTAGATTAAAAATAAAACCTGGCTTTCCATTTTTATTTAGAAGAATTATCATGTATACAAAAATATAAGTTTGCTAGACTTTCAGAAAAAAGTTGTGGGATAATGTTTTTAGAATTTAAATCAACTAATCCTACATGGATTCCACCCTAAGCCGTATTACATGAACCTGATTGAAGCATTGATGCATCGTGAGGGAAATTGTTGTTATCAAAACACTGCAGGTTACTCAATCTTTCTTGTAAACTAATGTAGGGTACTCTGGACTCCACATGTTATTCTTCACAAATTCGGCGATTTCATCCTGCAATTCCCATAAAAAAAGCATCCATAAATTGTTTTGCTATATAAATACTTGGATTTGATGTTAGATGAGAATGAACTACTCCTATATGATTTGTGCAGGCATGCAAGACTTTGAGCTCAATTCAGATTATGTATGGTTAGGGAACAGTAATTCATTTGAAGAATGTAGAAGACAACTATGATGAATACGGAAAAACAATGGAAGCCAAAAAAATAAATGGTAAAAAGTACAGTCAACTAAATCTCAGATAAGAACCTATAGAACTTCACGATCCTCAATGCAGACAAATCAATCTCACATACACAAGTAAAGGTCTCATTTGGTTTATCAGGTAAGTCACATTATCGACATTAGTAAAGCTTCCCAATTTTTGTTACCAGGTAGTGGTAGGTCACGATGTAGACAAGATAGTTACTGCTTTATTTGCGTAACAAGTACACAGTTACAAGTGTGTTCTCATGAAAAATTAGTAAAGATTACAATGTTATGTCCTCCTACAGTTACTAAGAAAGTGTTAACTGTTCCGAAAAAGAAACTTACCTCACTAAGTTTCTTCAGCTCCCGAGCATCGATTCCATGATATCCTTCAGCCAGGTCCTCCTCCACAGCTTCTTTTATAACAGCTGCGGCTACCTTCTCTGTAATGTCTCGAATTCTACACAAAAATGTATTAGTTTTGAGAAAGACGCTGCTCCTTTAGAACTATCTCTTGTAGTCGACACACAGTAAAGAAAAAGATCATTTATACCTGGATGTTGAAGGGAAAATGATCCCTTTGAGGACCTCCTCTTCACTCATATATGTAGCCAGACTTCCCAATGATATCAGGCAGACCAAAACCCAGTCAGAATCAAGGAAAGGCCATAACATTTTGGAATGAATCAAATCAATAATTATGAATGACATGAAAAATATTAGGATGCCTAAATCATTATTTCTAACATAACGCTCAAGCTTGAAAAATATAATCAATTAAATCTCAATTTAATCTGGCCGGGCTTCAAAAGACATCATATGCATATGCATCTTCTTTACTGATTGCTTTATATTTGTTTGTCAAAGGTTGGGGTGTGGTGTGGTGCTTTGATATTTATGAAACAACATAAACTCATCCATACAAAGAGGGGACACTGACATGAGTAAGGAGAACAAAAGATCCTAATTAAATTATAAAATGCATTTAAGGGTAGCACAAATTGTTCGTTGTAACAAAAATTTATGTACTTCTACGACAACCACGAGGCTTTGTTATTGAACCCTTTCAGTTCATAGACAGACAAAATTTGTTGACAGTTTCCAACTTAAAGCCTATTTTGGATTTGAAGTAATTAATCATGAAAGTATTTTCACAAATTAATAAATTTAGTAAAACATACCGCTCAGCCGCAGCCTGTAGCATGCCATCAGAGATTATCCTAGCACCTGACAGAAGTGTTCCAAGACCAATGCTGGAAGAAAAGAACATATCTAAAATAAAATTAACTGTATATTATAAATCATAGTATGAAACTGTGAAGTGTGAACTAACCCTGGAAAGAGGTACATGTTGTTTCCCTGGTTGCAGTGGCCAATATGACCATTTCCTGCATGATTACAAGAACTTGCCTTTGTGAGTTCCCCTTAACTGAGACCAAGAGAAACAGAACAATAAAAGAATTTTTTTTGTACCAACTAGTACTTTACTAATAACATTTATACACTTCATGCACATTGTAGAACAAATATCAATTTTTATAAGTTTAAATAAATTACAAGGCTTGATTTATACCCAAAGAAACAAACTAGATTCAATATCTGAAGACTACTGAAAAGTTAGAAAAAGAAAAGGTAACTTCTTCCTTTCTACCTGTGGTTAGCTTATAAGTTTAGTGTATGTCTGCTGTGTCAAGATTGTATATCTGTGAAATGAGGATTGTATACGACATACTTTCTGTATTTAGTTTGCAGATATAAATAAAACATCTGGATTTTATCTGTTTCCTTTTGTTACGAGATATAATTCTCCACCTTGCAAATAAACAGCTGCTAAGTAGATTTCCCTAAAGACAAATTATTTCTTATTTGCAGGTTTCTGGTAAACTTAAAGAATTGGCACATCGAATGTATGAGAGCAAAAAAACAACAATTGATGTTAAGTTTTGCTTTGAATATCTATATATCAAGATGAAGACAATGAACAAATGACATATAACAAAAACATCACAAATTGTAGAGAAAACTTAGTTCTAAAGAAAAACAAAGAAAAAGTAAAAAGATACTGATTATTTTTTTTATTCTTAACGTGAGACATATAATTTCTATAATAAATCATGAAGCTTGTAAAGCAAGCTTCACTGAGTGGGATAAACTCAACAGAAATAACAACTTTGCTGATTTGGGGACTAAACAATATGTAACTAGACATAATCACTTTGCTAATTTGGTAAATGTCACTCAGTTTTACAAAAACAGAGGTTTATCGAATTACTCTATTAAATAGAAAGGATATAATCTTCATTTTGTGATTAAAATAAGAACTTTGGGAGAATCACATCACAAAAGCTAGCCGTTGAAGTTGGAGAGCTCCAAGATCATATAAACCTCCACACTAGAATCTCACACTTTCAATGCCGGACTCAATACCTATGCCTTACAATTGGATCACAGCACTGAGACTCAAGGCCTATGCCTTACAGTTGGATCCCAGCAAACGAGCTGGCATTACCACTTATTGACTAGTCTAGGGAACACTGACCACCCAATCCTCTCATTTGCTGAGACAAGATGGAAATTTCTTATACCAAATAATAAGAAACTTGGGGAAACCACACCACCAAAGCTAGCTGATGTAATTGGAGAGGACAAGGCCTCACAAAGCTCACACTAGAATCCCATACTTCCAACCTTACACTTGTCTCCTAAAAGATTATTAATGCACCGTAAATGTATGCAGATTGCTTTCATATTCCAGGAAATTAATCTCACTCATAGATGGAGATTGCAAGTCACCTACTCTAGATGCTAGAGCATTTTTCCTCCACTTGTGCTCAAAGTATTAGAATAGGGGCTGCAATAGGTAAAAAATAGGCTTGTTTTTTGTGAACTAGAACAGATGAATTTAGTTTAGAATATAGTTAACTAAAATAAATAGGTTTACTCGTTTTACTGCGGTAGTTACAAAAAAAATTTCTTCCAATCTTTATAGTTCAAATTTTTTCTACTTTTACTTCTTACACAATCCCTATAGTAGGATCAAACATGTTCTATGTGGGGACTAAAAGGGAATGTTTTTGTGTATTTATAGACTAAAAGCGAACGTTTTTTGTAACTATAGGAACCAAATGAATAATTACAGAAACCAAAAAATACATTTAATTTAAAATGAAAAAACTAGTCAGAACAAACATTAACAAACAAACAATTTAAGTATGGACCTATATGGAATTTGGATACCCTAGAAAAGAAAGGATACTGTTCAAATAACAGTAGGAATACTATTCTGTTCGTATGAAATGAGGTTTTACAATCATCTTGGTTCTTAACTTTCCAGCAAGCAATAATCAAATAGTTACATTTTCAATTTTCATGTCACCATCACTAGATTATAAACATTTACTACAAAGATTCTGTGGGGAATTTGTAAACTTATACCAAGATCAACATTAGTGAATGGACTTCCACTTGCAAAAATAATGTTGTCACCCAAAATGGAGAATGCTTCTTCAGGAGTGCATTCAGCTGTCAAAAAGTGAGGGAAGAGGCAAACAAACTATTATGAATCCATGTTTTTCACTGCAGCAGCAGAAATCAATTAAGAAATAAAAATTACATACCATTCTTTGTAGGATTTGACATGGCAAATATGGCTGGTCTCATTGATGTTGAACCCTTGAGGGCCTCTAATACCTGAAGGACAGGATGTCCGTCAATGGTATGTTGAAGAAAGAAATATAACATAAACACTTGTGTGTATGAAAGCATAAAATAACATGCAATTTTTCACTTGAATTTTCATTTAGTTTATGCAGAGAATAGAATACATGTGGTTGAGGTACTAATACAGAGAACCTAAATGTCTGATATTTTCGTAGGGGGATGGAGTTACATAAATTTACAACCAGAAAATAATTTCAAGATTCTCTAGAGTCACATTGATACAAATATGACTGAGATATAGATCCTATGAAAGGGATGAAGATTTTAAAAGCTCAACAAAAGGCACCAAACAACATTGGCCAGCAGATTGATGGAAGCAACATAAAACATATCATGATCTGTATGACTGGCAGGTTGATCTTCCCCTTTCGAATTTCTTTTATTTTTCAATAAAAAAATGGGATGATGGAAAATCGATGGAAGCCATATTAATTCAACAATCTTAATCAAATAAGCGTGCAATGAATAATCAATCAAAGCATCAGACTGTATACCTCCTTTGAGAACAATCCTCCAACAGCAGATAATCCTAGGAGGACATCGGGCTTCACTTGCTTGACCTGTTACCGAAGTTCAGTAAGTAAGAATGTATGAAGCAAGCATTCCAGCAGTTAACCATCTAAAAATTGGAAAATGTCAGAGAACTAAGGGACCCTAATAAATAAAACGAGAGATTGAAGAGCTTTGGTATATCAATTTTTCTTATCATGCTTTGAGTTTATATCATACCAATTCTTTATCCACCAAAATTTTTCAAATTCATCTGTCTTTTTATTCAAGAAAGAAAAACTTCACAGCCGTAATTAAAAGTTTTCACTAACATTATATTAGGAATTGAGTTTGGGATTATAGACAAAAGAAAAGCGAGGTGGCTCATGAATCGTGACAGTTCATTAAGTTTATATTCAAATTCTAAGAACATGTTCTAGAAAATCAGATAATAACTGAAGAAATAATTAAAATGATTATTTTAAAATTTGGATTTATTCCGTATCATAATTCATATTAGCATCTACTGCAATATTCTCACAAACCACTTCCGCAAGGCTTGCTCCTTCTCTCAGCCCTTGGCGATCCGTTTCTTTCAAATTTCTTGCAAAAGGAAGGGCATCTGGATCAATATTTTCACGTCCTTCTGTGATTAATCCCTGTATTTGCAAAAACAATACGAAAATTGAATATCATAAGGTGATCAAAATATTCGGATATAATCATTGGTACAGCATAAAATTCGCGTCCATGCAATAAGTTTGACAGTCACTACAAATTACAAAACCAAGTAAATTATAAATAAGTATAAAGCCGTGACCAAGTCTAGCTTTACTTGAAACTGTTGTGGTTCACAAAAAGGGTTAGTGGATGATATTTTGTATTCAAGTTTAGATAAAATAGTGAATAATGGACATGCCAAAAACTGGACTCTGAAACAAGGTCAATGTGTAAAAACTATAGAAACCTTTTCGTTCTAGTGATAATATAGAACAAGATTCATACATTGACAATATCATTTTCGTTAGTACGCCTTTACAGCACAACAAAATAGTTATCAAGCAACATAGTTAAATACAAAAGCAGGTCCAAAGGCCATCCATCTATATGATAAATCAACTTAAGCATTAAAACATGAAATTCATTCAATCAGCAATTCTTTTGTTCACGCTTTGTGCACCAACAGAAAGAGAAAGAAGAGGGATCTAACTTAGATGATGGAAGATCAAATTCAACAGTGATTTGAAACAGGGTGCTCGCTGAGCATTTCAACAGAGATTTGAAATGCATACATTTATATCAATTACAAATCACTGATAGATAACCTATTTGTTGATAAACTAATAGGGAAAGTCAAAATAACAGTTCCCTACTTATCCTAGCAACTTACTATCCAATATTATGATTATAAATTACAATGTTAATAAAGGGTTCAGAATCATATGCTAAGTTGTTCAGCGCTCTCCAACATCACTCTGAGTAAATGCTCATATTCTCAAACCATTTATCATAAATTGCAGCCAAAGTTACACCGATAAAGCCATACGGATATGTAAGGGATAAGTCTTTGACAATCTATTATACATATTGTGCATTATATGCACACACAAATATTTATTAAAACAATTAAGCAATATAGATTTATTTAAAAAATTAAAAAAGTTAAACAGAATTAAATATTTTATCTGTTTAAGTGAGTTCAAGTCCATTTTTCCATATTATGATATCACTGAAGGAAATCTTTATATATGGCTTTAACATTCTGTGTAGTTTTAAATTTTATAATGTGTCAATGCTTTTCATACACTGCTGCTTTGAAACTCGATCCCCGGAAATACATATATGTAATAAAATCTAAAATGCATAAATTATGTTTTCCATCGAAAATAAAATTAACTATTATATCAAGATATACAATACCTTTGCATCAACAACCCAAAACTGACTTTTTGCACTCTCAAAAGCTACTTTATTATTACCCAACATTCTTGCCATTGTTTTTCTAGCTGCATTAAGAACCCCAATTCCAGCACTGCAGTTGTACAAATGTAACCAAATTAGCAACAAAGGTCTTGAATATGATCGTTCTAATATAAAAAACTAAACATAGAATTTCAATTGAAACAACAATTCCACTAAAGGAAACCAATAGCACTTTCCAATTAAATCAAGAATCACATAAGCAAATATACAGACATCTACCATACAAGATTACATAACAAGCAAAGTAAACTCAAAATTTAAATTTCTTGATAAAGGAATGAATTATTAGGTAATTAATAAAATCTACAGTAGTATGATTTAAACTTTCAACCAAGGGCAGGATGCTAACCAGGCCAGCACTCCCAATACTCATAAGTAACTAAAAATTTCTAAGGGTTATATGTCTCTTTCTTATCCCTGTGAGGAAATTTTGGGAAAAGGTTTGGGTGGTGTTAAGGTTCCAACATAAAACTAATTGGCAATATGTGGAGTAGCCTAACATGTATTTAAACCATACCAAATGATACGAGGTAGGCGATGTGGGACTTTCAACACACCCCCTCCAACGAAGCCTGCCGGACCAGGTAAAGGGTACTTTTGACCCAACTAAAGGGCAACTTTTGGTTCATGACAATAACCGAAAAGATGTTAGGCTTTGGCTCTGATACCATGTTAAGGTTCCAACATAAAACCAATTGGCAATATGTGGCGTAGCCTAACATGTATTTAAACCATACCAAATGATATGAGATAGACGATGTGAGACTTTCAACACACCCCCTCCAACGAAGTCTGCCGGACCAGGCAAAGGGTACTTTTGATCCAACTAAAGGGCAACTTTTGGCCCATGACAATAACCGGAAAAGCGATGTGGGACTTTCAGGTGGGAATTGATTTAAAAAGTGCAATCCAAAAGTTCAACCCCATAAGAGGGGAGAACCTATACTTCAAATGGAAGTTTTGTGTCTCACATTCAGCGTATGTGCTCCCAATCACACATTAACCACAATATTGAAAAGACCACTCCAACCACTTGAAGGCTGTAGAAAGTGGATTCAATGATACCCTGATAGGAACCAGAATCGAAAGACAGAATAATATAGCTCAAGAACAGCTAATAGAAACTGAATATTGTATTGTTGATGTACAGAGAAAAGGAAATAAAAGAGAATTGAGGTTCTCTTGTCACAAAGCTAGGCTCCTAACAGAGAGTTAAAGCTCTCCGTTTCTAACAAATTCCATAATGACCAAAAAATACCTCTAACAAATAGCTAAAGCTCTCCATTTCTAACAAATTCCATAATCACCAAAAGATACCCTCTCTCACTTTCTTACATCCAACATAACTGAAAATCCTCTCTCACTTCCTCACGTCCAATATAACCAAAAAAAAAAAACCCTAACTAATCGTGGCCAATGTTCCCACACACCTCACTCCTTGCCACCTCATCATTCTTTATTTTTTCTATTTTTTCTCTCATACTTTCCACACAATGGCCTTGTATGATTCTGATGAACTAACTCTGCATCAAGGCCCACTTGCCTATTTGGACTCCTAAAATACCCACAACATAGTTGATATAATGGAAACTTAACTCTAAAAAGGCAGGCTAAGAAGAGGGAAGATTCTCATCATCAAATGGAAATTCTGCATCTCAAACCTCGCCAACACAAGTTCATGTTCCTGCATCAGACATATATTCTTTTTCTTTAAGATTCCGAATCTATGATAGGGTGTTTAACGCCTAATTTACTTGATATATCAATTATGTTTATAAGGCATTCCAAATACTTTTTCTAACTTTAATCATTGTTATTTCTTAAAAGTTATTAAGATTTTAAATAAATAGTTTGATTTGTTTGTTAGCATTTTATATATTGTATTTTTGATTTTATTATTTTAGGTGTTTTCTTTGTATAAAGGACACTGTACATAATGATAGATAGTAAAATAAAAATATCTTTATTCCTCTATCTTTCTCTTTCTCTATTAGTAAAATTAGTTTTCTCAACATGGTATACAGAGCGTAGGTTACCTTCTTTATGGGTACTGGTCATGGTTCCCATGGCAACTACCACGTCTGTCCTTTTCTCCTATTCTATCTCGGAGAAACTCAGTGATACTAATTTCTTCCTCTGGCAACAACAAGTTGAACCAGTCATTAAAGCTCATTGTCTTCAACGCTACCTCGTTAACCCTCAGATTACTCCCCAATTTCTTTCCAACTCGGATAGTGATTTAGGGATTGAGAATCCAGAATACACCACTTGGGAAACACAGGATCAACTCCTTCTTTCATGGCTTCAATCTTCTTTATCGGCCTCCTTCTTGGCTCGAATCATTGGCTGTCAACATTTGTTTCAGGTTTGGGAGAAAATCCATGCTCACTTCACCTCTCAGACGAAAGCTCGGGCTCGTCAGCTTCGTACGAAACTTCGCACCATGAAGAAAGGTGAACGGGCCATTAATGACTTTCTTCTCTCCCTCAAGACGCTGGCCCACTCCCTTCGCTCCATTGATGATCCTGTCTCCGATCGCGAACAACTTGACCTTATTCTTGAAGGTCTTCTGGTTGAATGAGTCATTCCTTGCTCTCATCAACAACAAACCAGATTTGTTTTCTCTCGATGAAGTAGAATCTTTACTTGTTGCTCAGGAAGCTCGGCTTGCAAAGTTTCATGTTGATAGTGATAAGGTTTCGCTTAATCTCACAAAAGCCCCTTCTCCAACCGCTTCTTCTCCTAGTGTTAACTTCGCTCAAGGTGCTTCCGCTTCTTCATCTACTTTTTCTCCTACTACCTTTCGTGGTAGTGGCTATTTTCAACGAGGCTGTGGTCAGAGTCGTCGAGGAGGTTCTGGAGGTCGTGCATCTGTTCAATGTCAAGTTTGTAACAGATATGACCACACTGCTGCTCTCTGCTATCATCATTTTAATCCGACTTTTGCTGCTCCGCCCCCTAATCACACCATGGGTTATTCTCCATATCAGCCTGGGGTTCTCTCTTGTTAAGGTTCCAACATAAAACCAATTGACAATATGTGGATTATCCTAACATGTATTTAAACCATACCAAATGACATAGTTGGGTCAAAAGTACCCTTTGCCTGGTCCGGCAGGCTTCGTTGGAGGGGGTGTGTTGAAAGTCCCACATCGCCTACCTCATGTCATTTATGTCACTAAAGGTGTTAATATTCATTCCTTCTTCAACATATGATGAACTACCATCCACAGAAACATTTCCACTACAATCACTTTCTGCATTAGCCAAAAATTTGAAGAAACACCAACCTACATCTTGATCCCATATATGCACTTGATCTTAGCCCAAACTTTTTTCCGCTCAACAAAGTCAAGCACGAATGAAAAACCAAAACCCAAGTGGCACACTCCATCAGGTGTTAATTCAATCTCTTCCTCAAGCTTGTCAAATTGGAGACCACTAGCCACGGATGTACATAAGTCAACCAAAAAAGTATCACACACCTTGTCGAAAAGTGCTAGGTTTTCAGCAGAAACAAGTTTTAAGTCGATCGTAGTCCTGTTAGGATACAGTTCCGTATTTTTATGAGAAACTTCCCTAGAACTTTCCGCGTCACAACAACTAACTCCATAGTTTTTAGCTGTGATACTACCTTCACCTTTCGTCATGATGTTTACAGTCTTCTTCGTCAGTTCTAAAGCAGCTTGCTCAAACGCATTATACTCCTTCACCTCAGTAGTAAGATCGTAATCCTCAAATGCTAGAGGTTCAGACATGTCAAAGCTAGAACAACTTCGAAAGTAGTCATCGAACTCGATATAGTTGGGCAAAGACACCACATCAACGACTTCCATACCAGTCACATAACCACAATGTTCCCCCCACTTGTGCATCCACCTATTCCAAAACTTAAATTTTCTATCTTGTAGTTCACTTAAGGAAAACTTCAGCACCGTACAACAACAAAGGAGAAAACAGAAAGCAGCCTACACCATATCTTATTTTTTTTTTTTTTAAACTAATACACATATTTTCAATACCCATATCATAAGTGGAATGTAAAAACATTGCAAACCTATCATAATCATACATATCAGCAGGTACCTCCCAGTCACAATCCTCGAATTTGTTTTCGCAAAATCGAAGTTTTTCACCACAATAGGTACCCTTTAGGTCATCGTACGTATCACGCTGCACTGGTGACTTTCGGTTACCATTTCTAGTGTAGACCTCCAGATTCAATTCCCGCTTAGTTTTCCTAGCACAGTCTCTTACATCTAGAATAGGGCAACAACAGTGAACAAACCTCTCGTCATCATCAGACTTGTGTACGTGCGAATACCAATTACCACCGGCATCATAAATTAGTACCTGACTTTTCGGAAATTTTCTCAACATAATTTTTGACTCCAACATCCTAGAAGCAGCTGCTTCGGGATGTGGTGCCAGTTCCGCTTCTTCAGACACTACATTAAACTCAGGATAGTAACTAGCTAACATTTGCAGTTTCTTAGGATCCATAAACCTTCGCACATCAACTTTAGGTTTCCCATGAGCTAATCTGTTATAGGTTTCCATGTTCCCTTGCCTCGGCCTATGATGCCTCCCTCTCAGGCTCATTATTTGGCTTCTCAACCTCATGCTTATGTTGCTCAGTCTGGTTCAATGCCTGTGCCCGCTCAACAATCCCAGAATTGGTACATTGACTCTGGAGCATCCCATCACATAACCCTTGATTCCACCAACCTTCAGAATCCCATCTCGCCTTCCACAGATGCTTGTGTCTTCCTTGGAAACGGACAAGGTTTGCCTATTCAATATTTTGGTTCTACAACTCTCTCTTCTTCTAATCCTTGTGTTCCTTTGCATCTCACAAAATTATTACATGTTCCCTGTGTTAATAAAAATCTTGTAAGTGTCAGTCGGTTTGCTAGGGATAACCATGTTTATTTTGAATTTCATTCCACTCTTTGTTTTGTTAAGTCTCAGGTTGATCACTCCATATTACTGACTGGATATCTTGGTTCGGATGGTCTCTACCAGTTTCCTCTCCTTCCGCTGCATTCCCAACCCGCATCTACAAATGTGTCAACTGTCTCTGATATTCCCCCTTCCCCTTCTGTCTCCACTGTTCCCACACACACTTTCACTGTGTTTTCTCTTTGGCATAATAGGCTAGGCCACCCTTCTGTTTCTGTTCTACATAATGTTCTTCACCGATGTAATGTTTCCCTACCAAATAAAACTACTGCAGATTTTTGTGTAGCATGCTGTATGGGCAAATCTCACCAATTAGCTTCTCATACTTCCTTAACTTCTTACACTACACCTTTACAATTTGTCTTTTGTGATCTTTGGGGTCCTTCTCATGTCAAATCTTCAATGGGATATCATTATTATGTTTCCTTTATTGATGCTTATAGTAAATATACTTGGATTTACTTTCTTAAACAAAAATCTGACACTTTGAACGCCTTTAAACAATTCAAGACCTTTGCTGAACTTCAATTCAATCATAGAGTTAAGGAAATCCAAACTGATTGGGGTGGTGAATTTAGACCTTTCACTCAATATCTTACCTCTTTGGGTATTCATCACCGTTTGATATGTCCTCATACTCATCATCAAAATGTTGTTGTTGAACGCAAACATAGGCATATCGTTGAAATGGGTCTTACCCTTCTCTCTCAATCATCTTTACCTATGACATTTTGGGATCATGCTTTTCATACTGCAGTGTATCTCATTAATCGTCTCCCTGCATCAAATGCTCCTCATCCTATTCCCTATTGTACTCTTTTTAATAAAGAAATCAATTATCATTTTCTTAAAATGTGTGGTTGTGCATGTTATCCTCATACTCGCCCCTATAATCATCATAAATTGCAGTATAGGTCCACGACCTGCACTTTCTTAGGGTACTCTTCGTGTCACAAAGGGTATAATTGTCTTGACTCCAATGGTAAAATCTTTATTTCTAAGGATGTTATCTTTGATGAAAACACTTTTCCCTTTGCCACTCAAATTCACACTCCTTTGTTACCCTCTTCCTCTTCTTGTCTCCTACCCCTTGGCATCCTTCCTAGTCCTATTCCTAGTCCTATTCATAGTCCCACTCAGCATGCTATTCTGAACTCTTCAGTTGTTGTGTCATCTCCTATGTCTCAGCCCTCTGTTTCTTCTCCTCCTCCTGAGTCCCATCCTCCTCCTGTTCTTGTCCCTAATCCATCCTTAGCATTTGTTCCTAGTTCTTCCATCCACTCATCCTATGCAAACACGTTCCAAATCAGGTATTGTTAAGCCTCGTCGCTTTCCTACTTTGCTTTTCACTGTTGCAGAACCATCTACTGTTAAGCAAACTCTCTCCTCTCCTCTTTGGCGGCAAGCCATGCAATCTGAGTATGATGCTTTACTAGCTAATCATACGTGGCAGCTCACTCATCTTCCTCCTGGTCGGACAGCTATTGGTTGCAACTGGGTTTTTCGCATTAAAGAGAATCCAGATGGTACTGTCAATAAATATAAAGCCCGTTTAATGGCCAAGGGGTTTCATCATCAGTTTGGATGTGACTATTCTGAAACATTTTCACCTATTATTAAGCCTGTCACTGTCCGTATTATTCTTACCTTGGCTCTCACCAAACATTGGTCTATTCAACAAGTTGATGTTAATAATGCCTTTCTCAATGGCACTTCATGAAGATGTTTACATGACTCAACCCCCTGGTTTCGAGTCCACAAATTCTTCTCTTGTGTGCAAGCTTCAGTGTTCCATTTATGGTCTTAAACAGGCTCCAAGGGCCTGGTATGATAGGCTCACCTCTACTTTGCTTAGCTTTGGTTTTGTGCAGAGTAAGTGTGATCCTTCCCTATTAGTTCTTACCACTGCTGTTGATACTCTCTATGTTCTCATTTATGTTGATGATATAATACTCACGGGCTCATCCTCCACTCTTCTCCAATCAATCATCTCTAAATTACATGTTTTTGATCTTAAGCAACTTGGTGAACTTGACTATTTCTTGGGTATTGAGGTCAAACATCTCCCTGACAGCTCTCTCATTTTGTCTCAAACAAAATATATTCGAGATTTACTTCTTAAGGCTGGAATGGATGAGGCCAAGGGAATTTCTACTCCTCTTCAAGGTGGCTTGAAACTCACTAGATTTGGGTCTGATTATTTTGATGATCCTGCTCTTTATAGGTCTATTGTTGGTGCCCTGCAATATATTACTATTACTCGGCCTGAGATTGGCTACAACGTTAATAAAGTCTGTCAATTTATGTCTCAGCCACTAACTGATCATTGGAAGGCAGTCAAACGTATATTGCGCTATCTTAAGGGTACCATATCCTATGGTTTGCATCTTCATCCTGCTTCCAGTTCTGTCCAGTACACTCTTACTGCCTATTGTGATGCAGATTGGGCATCTGACATTGATGATCGAAGGTCCACCTCTGGTGCCTGCATTTTCTTTGGCAAAAATTTGGTTTCTTGGTGGTCAAAGAAGCAAACTCTAGTTGCTCGCTCAAGTGCTGAAGCAGAATATCGCAGTCTAGCTATTACCGCTTCTGAAATTTTGTGGCTGCAGTCCCTTTTTAAGGAATTACACATTCCTTGTGCTACACCTATCATTTACTGTGACAATCAAAGCACAATTGCTCTTAGTCACAATCCTGTGTTACACACGAGAACCAAGCACATGGAGCTTGATATATTTTTTGTTCGTGAAAAAGTGCTGAATTCTTCCTTAGTTGTTACTCATATTCTAACCCAGGATCAAATTGCAAATATCTTGACCAAGCCACTCTCTCAAGCTCGTTTCTCTCTTCTGCGTTCCAAATTCAAAGTCATTGACTCCTTCAATAACTTTGGATTTGCGGGGGACTGTTAGCATATACTGTTTTCTCTAATTAAAATCCCTTCTGTTTTAGATTTTATTGTTACCATATTTTCTGTTTTGATACGTGGATTGGGTTGTTAGCATTTTATATATTGTATTTTTGATTTTATTATTTTAGGTGTTTTCTTTATATAAAGGACACTGTACATAATGATAGATAGTAAAATAAAAATATTTTTATTCCTCTATCTTTCTCTTTCTCTATCAGTAAAATTAGGTTTCTCAACACATTTAAATTATGTTTGGTTACAATTGATTTGATCCCTTTTATGGTGTTGTAGGAACTATTTTGAAGAAGCTTGGAAATGAAGATCAAGAGAAATCAAGAAAGACTTGGTTAAGCACTTTTTGAAGCCCAAAGAAGAAAATTGCATTGCCTTATTTTCATTACACAAATCCAAATCGCTGAACAAATTGTAGAGAGAATATGGCTTGGTATCAAAAAATATGCTGAGCAAAAGGATTTTGGGTAACATAGTCCTCCACTTAGCGAATTTCCACCAAATCAAAATCCCCAGTCTAGTATTTTGAGAAATAGAAAAGGATTTCACTTTCCTTTTGGAGTCCGTAGCTTGGAAACAAGCTTGAAAATAGGCAAGGATCAAGGATCGCCACTTGGGTAGCCATTCAAGGAGTTTGGAAAGAGGAACCTTCAAGTCTTTGATGTCTCAAGACTTTGCTTTGATCCTTTTCACCATGAGTAGCTAACTTTTCTTATTGGGATTGAATGTGAATCAACTATCATGTATTATATTTGATCTATTGATATGTATATCCAGTCCATCTCTATTCTATGTTAGTAATTCAATTTCTATGTTTAAGGCTTACTAAGCTTGAAAAATCATGGTTTGCTTTTAGATATAGAATCTAACTAGAAAGTAGTTTTTATATCTTAACATGAATTGAATCACCTAATTAGTTTGATTGCTAGAAATAGGATTTATTAGTTGTTATGCATTGACAATCTCAAAGCAAGATCTTTCATTAAATACTTAATGGATTGATATTTGGTAATAAAACTTAGAATCTAGATATAGAGGAACCATTGGTCAGTGATTTTATCAATATATTAACATGAATAGATGAGAACTCATCAGTATTACTAGAAAGTGGATATGAGCCTAACCCAATTCTACAAAACTTGGTTATAAGGTGAGGTTTGCACTTCATTTATATACTATAATTTGGTATATAATTTGGTCATATCTTTAGTTGATAAGGATCTCTAACACACCCGTGCATGAGATTAGATATTTGTGGGTGGTCTAATATTATCAAAAAGGAGTTGTCATCCACATAATTTTATTCTTCTATCAGAACCATATAATAAACTAAATAAAATACAAGTCAACAACAACAACCTTCAGCAAGCTGTAACCCACGAGATGGAATTTATCACCAACATCAAATGATACCATTGAGCCTTAATGGTGTCACATGTAAGCCAAAGACATCATCATTTTTATTGAGTGTATGAGAGAGAATAGAGGGAGAATTTCTCAATTTCAATAGAAATAAATTCAACACAGTTATGCAAGAGTTACAAAAGGTTTTGTGGGAAATCAAATAGTATTTTAGGAAAGAATAAATCAGAAAATTGGTATATTTCCTTGTAATCTGCACATATTTGAATAATTAAAAACAATCCCATAAATCAAGGGATCCTAGAATAAAATAGAGTTATTATATTTTTTAAAATAACTTAGATCTCCTGTATATATCTTATATCATCTCTTTGTATTAAAATAATAAAATCATATTTCATTTAATCTAATTTTCCAGATGGTATCAGAGCTTCCGATCTAGGAAGCTCTGTCTGCGTGCTATAAACCCTAAGACGGCAGCCCACATTGCTGCTACATCACACCTTCTTGCTATAATGTCAAGGGAAGAGGAAGTTGTGAATCCAACCCCAGGGAATACCCACCCAATCCCAGCAATCTAGAGAGCTGCAGAATATTCATTCTGCATATAGACTAAATGGAAGAAATTATTTGAAGTGGGTCCAACTTGTTCGTACAGTGTTGAAGGAAAAGGGGAAGTTGAGTCACCTAATGGAGTCTGGACCTAAACAGGAGGATCCCAAGTTTACTACATGGGATGAACAAGATTCAATGATCATAGTGTGACTGTGGAATACAATGATTCCAGAAATTAGCGACACCTACATGTTCCTTAATTCGGCAAAAGAGATTTGGGATGCCATAGAGCAAACCTACTCTAAAGCCAAAGATGTTGCTCAAGTATACGAAGTAAAGGTGAAAACTTTGGCAGCAAAACAAGGGAACAAGACTATTACAGAATATGCCAATCAGTTGAAATCATTATAGATAGAGCTAGACCATTATAGAGTCATAAAAGCCAAATGTACTGAAGATTCAGCACTTCTCAAGGAGTATATCAAACAAGACAAAGTTTATGATTTCCTTGTTGGTTTGAATCCTGAATTTGATCAAGTTAGGATTCAAATATTGGGGAAGCAAAAGGTACCATGCTTCAATGAAGTGGTGGCTATTGTGAGAAGTGAAGAAAGTAGAAGGGGTCTCATGTTAGAGAGTCCAGCAGTAGAGAACTCAGTAATGGTGGCTGACCATAAAGGAGATCAGACTTTGGCCATGATAACCGAACAGAAGAAAGGAGGATCAGCAAATGTGGAGAAGAAAGGTGATGGTCTCTGGTGTACCTACTGCAATAAGTCTTGTCATACCCGAGAGAAGTGTTGGAAGTTACATGGGAAGCCTTTAAATCAAGATCGAGAAGGGGGACACAAAGGAGGCTCCTCAAGGAAAGGAGGACAAGTTTATGTTGCTGCTAAAACAAATGAAGGAAATAATCCAGAAGCTGCTGCCCATCTTAATCAAGAGGAGATAGAAAGGGTGAGAACCTTTCTTAGTAAGCTGGAGAAACCCACAGGTGTGTGTTCTTTGGCATACTCAGGTAAGTTTCCACTTTCTTTTAGATTAAATGTCTCAAATACACCTTTTAACCATTATTAGATATTGGACTCTAGAGCCACAGACCACATGACACCATTAGCCAAACACTTCTCCACATATTCCCCATGTCCCAGCAACAAGAAAATTGTCACAGTAAATGGAATCCTTATAACTGTAGCTAGTCAAGAAAATATCCAAATACCCTTAATAACCTTAAAAGATGTTCTCCATGTCCCAAAGTTATCCACCAACCTAGTCTCTAGACAAAAACATATAAATGATTTGTCATGTAAAGTTGTTTTTTTCAACGATCATTGTGTATTTCAGGACAAGGATTCGAGAAAGATGATTGGACATGCTAGAGAATGGAATGACCTTTATGATCTTGAAGATCCAAGTCTGTCCAGCAAGAACAGAATCTCTCACTCCTTTATATCTAAATCCTTGATGACCAACAAAGAAAAAATCATGCTTTATCATTGTCGGTTGGGACATCCCTCTTTAGGAGTGATCAAAATTATGTTTCCCTCTCTGTTTACCAAGTTAGATGTTGAGAGTCTTCATTGTGAGGTGTGTGAACTTGCTAAGCACAAGCGTGTATCTTTTCCAATAAGTAATAAAATTAGCAATTTCCCTTTTTATCTTGTTTATACTGATGTAAGGGGACCTTCTAATGTTCCGAATGTGTCTGGTGCTCGATGGTTTGTCACCTTTATATATGATTGTACAAGGGTCACTTGGGTTTTCCTACTTAAACAAAAATCAGAAGTCAGTTTTGTCTTCCTAAACTTTCACTCTTTGATAAAAAATCAGTTTGGTGTTAATATTAAGAGGTTTAGGTCAGATAATGTCAAAGATTACTTCAATCATGTCCTTAATTCTTTTTGTCAAAAAGAAGGTATAATTCATGAGTCCTCTTGTGTCAAAACACCACAGCAGATTGGGGTCGCAGAGAGGAAAAATGGACATCTATTAAATCAAACTCGAGCATTGTTGCTCCAAAAAAGTGTCCCAAAAATTTTTTGGGGATGTTGTCCTTACAGCAACACACCTTATCAATAGACTACCCTCTAGAGTCTTAGGATCCAAAATCCCTATGGAAGTTTTGTCGTCTTTCTATCCAAACCTGTCCACTACAAATAATCTTAAACCAAGAGTTTTTTGGTGCATCTCATATGTCCATATTCATAGTACAGACAAGGGGAAACTTGATCCTAGAGCCTTAAAGTGTATCTTTATTGGTTACTCATCCACTCAGAGAGGGTATAAATGCTACCACCACCCATCCAAAAAATTGTGTGTGTCTAGGGATGTTACCTTCAATGAACAAGAGGGCTATTTCCATTAACCTTATCTTCAGGGGGAGAGTTTTAGGGAAGATAAGGAAAGTAGTAATTCTGATTTTCCCATTCTTCCAGACTTGATATTTGAACCTAAACAAGATCAAATTGAAGTTGTAACAAGTTAAACAGGTCAAGGGATTGGTCAAGAAAAGGAAGCTGGTCAAGAAAGTGAAATTAATTGTGAAGCTGATCAAGGAGATGTTGAAGCTGAAAAATTTGGTAAGAAGCTGGTGTACTCAAGGAAGACAAAGGTCATTCCAGGATCAAACCATGTTCAAGAATCCAACTCGACTCCACAAAAAGAGTTAACAATTTTTTCTCCAGCTGTGCAGGTTAAAATTGAAACCCAAAATGATCCCGACCTCTCCCAATTGCCATTAGAAAAGGGACAAGAAAATGCACCAAACAGCCACTCTACCCTCTCTTAAATTACCTGTCCTTTAAAAATTTCTCTCCTACCCATAAAATCTTCCTAGTAAACCTAAACACTGAACTTCTACCTAATACCCTATCTGAGGCATTGTCTGACAGAAAATGAAGGCAAGCCATGGATGTAGAGATGGAGGCATTGGAAAAGAACAACACCTGGGAGTTAGTCACCTTACCAATAGGAAAGAGGCTAGTTGGATGTAAGTGGTTCTATACAATAAAATACAAGGCTGATGGATCAATTGAGAGATATAAGGCAAGACTAGTTACCAAAGGGTTCATCCAAACCTATGGAGTTGATTATTTGGAGACCTTTGCTCCGGTTGCCAAAATGAACACAATTAGGGTGATATTGTCCCTTGCTGCCAATTATGGTTGGAACTTGGAACAATTTGATGTTAAGAATGTTTTCCTACATGGAGACCTTGAAGAAGAAATTTATATGGAGATACTTCCGGGATATGGTAAAGATGTTGCTGCCAACACTGTTTGCAAGTTAAAAAAGGCATTATATGGGCTAAAACAGTCCCCCCGTTCATGGTTTGGCAGGTTTACTAAAGTTATGACAGGTCTGGGTTACAAACAAAGCCAAGGGGACCATACTTTGTTCTTTAAACATTCCAAGTCAGGGGGAGTAACAATATTATTGGTGTATGTGGATGACATAATATTAACTGGAGATAATAAAGAAGAGCAACAATTATTGAGTCAATGCTTAGGCAAGGAGTTTGAGATCAAGACCTTGGAAATACTAAAATATTTTTTGGGAATTGAAGTTGCCCACTCCAAGAAAGGGATATTTATATCTCAGCAGAAACACATCACTGATTTGCTCAAGGAAATTGGCAAGGCAGCTTGCAAACCTGCTAGTACCCCATTAGAACCAAACCTAAAGCTTGGAAATGCAGAAGATGTTGTTGTTGAAAAAGATATGTACCAAAGATTAGTGGGCAGACTTATATATTTGTCGCATACCTAGCCAGATATTGCCTATGCAGTGAGTTTAATTAGTCAATTTATGCATAGCCCAAAGGATACCCATTTACAATTTGCCCACAGAATTTTACAGTACCTTAAAGGAACTCCAAGAATAGGGATTCTATTCAAAAGGAATGGTAATGTGAAGCTTGAAGCCTATACTGATGTTGATTATGCAGGGTCAATTGTGGATAGGAGGTCAACTACAGGATATTGCACCTTTCTTGGAGGAAATCTTGTGACTTGGAGAAGCAAAAAGTAGGGTGTAGTGGCTCGGTCCAGTGCTGAAGCGAAATTCCGAGCCATGGCACAAGGTATATGTGAGTTGCTATGGCTTAAAATCATCTTAGAAGACTTGAGGATAAAGTGGGAAGAACCTATGAAGCTCTATTGTGATAATAACTCAGCAATCAGCATAGCCCACAACCCAGTGCAGCATGATAGAACAAAGCATATTGAAGTAGACAGACACTTTATCAAAGAAAAGCTTGATATGCACTCCATATGTGTCCTCTCAAGACCAAATTGCAGACATTCTTACCAAGGGAATGGGCTGTCATAATTTTAAGAAGATTGTATCCAAGCTAGGAATGGAAAACATCTATTCACCAGCTTGAGGGGGAGTGTGGGAAATCAAATAGTATTTTAGGAAAGAATAAATCAGGAAATTTGTATATTTCCTTGTAATATGTACATATTTGAATGATTAGGAACAATCCCATAAATCAAGGGATCCTAGAATAAAATAGAGTTATTATATTTCCTAAAATAGCTTAGGTCTTCTGTATATATCTTATATCATCTCTTTGTATTAAAATAATAAAATCATATTTTATTTAATCTAATTTTCCAGAGGTTTATGTAGCTGAAAGGATGGAGTCTCGAAGCTCTATCCAACTCTAACCAACACTTTGTTATAGGTGATATCAGATAAGCACAAAATAACAACTTAATAGAACTAGAGATAAAAATATACAGATGAACAAGATAGTCCAATAATTTTTTTTGCTAAATCTAATGATCGATCACCTTGCAAATATCCTTTCATAGTATCTTTGAGGTCCTTAAATCCATGATTTACAACAGAACATCATGAGATTATTTGAGTCATGTAGTTGATCACACCTAGTGAGAAAAGGTCGGCTACTCTGTTATGCTCTCTTCAAAGTTCTCAATTCATTTTATCAGTAACAAGCTTGGTTCATATGATTTGTATATTCAGATGTTTCCTCCATTTTCGTGTGACACAATATATAAATGTTGAGATTATTTCTAGATATACATTTGAAAACATATCTGAATAAGTAGGTGAGCAGAAAACTTCTAGATTAAATCCTAAATGCTTTTTGGTCATCCTTTCACAACTCAAACTAACTAACCTTCCAGCACCAGCAACAACAATCTTCTGCTTTGGGAAGTCAATCATTGGTCTTCCTTGCGCCCTTACAGCACCTAGAAGTCCTGCAATTGCAACACCAGCTGTTCCCTGTACAGAAAAATTTTCAGCTTTAAGAAAGTGAAACAATCACGATAGGGACTTGATATTATGAGGTGTCTAAGTCCCACATAAAGTAATATAATACTTGGTACAGTATTAAGTGTTTGATTCTCCCCCATTCACATTCATCTTTTAAGGGAGAGTTCCCCAAGTTGCATATCAGATCATCATAGTACTTTAAAATATACTGAAGAACAATCCTCTACAAAAATTTCAAATTATGGTATAATTCATCTACAATCAAATGGATCATAAGAATTTTTGTTTGCCAAAACAAAGTGCAGCAAGCATATTTCTCAAGTATAAGCCAGTGTGTAAAACAAAGTTTTGTTACTAAATTGTTTGGTTAGCTACTTAATAAAATAATTGCTACTTTGTTAATGTAATATTGTGCTGCCTTTAGACATTTTTGCTTTACCCAGCACATACTAATGGTTACATTGAAAACTCGGATTTAGAGTATGTGAAATATTGAAAATTCTATTTATTTTATCATTTCTATATAATATATCACAAATACCTATACATGTACAACAACAAAAGAATGACCTTGCTCGGTGAGGTCAGTAACATGGATCACACAAGGTCATTCGACTTGGTTAAAGATAAAATATTTGAAGATTATTTGTCATGAGATCCTAGTTAACAACATCCTCCTAGATCTACTCTCCCACTAGTGCTTCCATTTCAATGACCTTTTTATGCGTCCAAGCCACCTTTTTATGCACATATAAGACTACATTAAACAAATAAAAATTGAAGTTGAGACTTGACGTACTGATATGTATACATCTAATATTAGATAATATGACCAAAAGCAGCTGACAAATGCTTTTTCTTTACTTTTTCTTTTGTTTGGATAATATGATCAATGGTTTTCATAATTCTCAATAAATTAATGAAAAATGAAATACTTTTATAGTCTCATTTATTAAAAGTGAAAGTGATTCAGAAACACCATATACAAAATTCCCTAGTACAATTAAGAATTAACAATATGTCCTAAGAGCACTAATAGCTTCCTGTTAAAAACAACTGACGTTATATGATCCCATATAAAAGAAATTCTACCTGAACATCATCATTGAACATTCTGTAGGTATTTCTATACCTCTGTAATAACTTAAATGCCCATTTGCTTTGGAAATCTTCAAACTGTGCTGGCACAGAAAGTTAATAGCCTTATAAAAAATGAGCTCTGTGAATAAAATGCAGAAAGAAATCAAGTTTCTATTTTTATTTTTAAACTTTCCTGTAAATACCTGCACAATCACATTTGGCCAGCGAGTAAAGACAGCCTCCATAAATTCATCAACAACAGCCAGATAGTCATCACCATCCAGACGATGTTGCTGCAATCCCAAATCTGATAAAATAAAATAAAAACAATCATGTTTGGCAGAGTCAACTCAACTCAGTTAGTTTAGAAAGTTTAAGATGAGAGCTGATTATATATATAAACGAAACAGCAGGAGGCATATGCCATAGCATACATTCTTTTGGTCCACTGTGTTACACAACAAGATGTTGCAAAATCTAATAATTAATTAACTCCAATCCATTAATGGGTCCTTTGTTAACTAAGTTGGATCTTAACTCCCATCGGATGGACAATATTTTAATGCGATGATGTCACTTCTATATAGATGCTGCACAACACTTTCACTGAATGAATGTAGAAACTTACATAAGGGATCTTCGAGTAAGTTCTCATTGTTAGTACCAACATCAATCATCACAGGAAGTACCTATTATAAGAAAAAAAAAATGAATATATAGTAATGCTCCCGAAGGGAATAGAAACATAGTTATTAGAAGACAAACCAGCCAAGCTAGAAAGGAACAGTTTCAAGACAGAATAAGAAGCGAAAAAAAGCTACTAGAAATCAAGCACAAATTAATAATAGTCACATGGAAGAACCATTTACTAGAATTAAGGAAAGTTCTTCATTATTGACAGTTTCCTTAGAGGAAAAGTGGCAAATAAATGGGTGGGTTAGGATAAGGCATAGCCAAAAGACAAGAATTTGAGGATGAAAAAAGTTTTATTGTAACCTAATAAGGCTGTTTAAGCATAACTGATCACAGCATTTATCAAACTGTCATATTTCCTTACCAACAATATAGAGATATCAACGTTGTCAGAAACATGAGAAAGGAAAATAATGAAAATTGAGCAACAGTGTACCCTTTGAGGATTTATTCCAGCAGCAGCAACATATAGATCAAGCTTCCCAATGGCAATGCCAATCCCTTGAACTCCAAGATCTCCAAGTCCCAGGATTCTGCTCCCATCAGTAACTACAATCATATCTACCTGAAAAGAATATCAAATGAAATGTCTCAATTTTACACTTAAACAAATTAGTATAGATCATAATATTATAGAGACGTAGGTCGTAAATTGGAAACATATCAAATGAAAGGTGAAAGTGTCACAATTTCAAGCAAATTGATGTGCTGATGATGATTTTTACTCATTCAAATATTATTAAAAAATAAATTGTTTCATGTATCCATTATATGTCAAAATATTGCAGTCAGCACCAGCAAATGAAAGAGAAACCAACAGTGCCTTGTTATACTTTTTAACAATATATGTGCTAAGCCAAAAACATTTAGACAAATTCTCTCAATAACTCTCTCGTTCAATATATAAGATGGTTGTATTGTTAGAATATAAGCATATAGAGGAGTTAGCTAAGATAGTTAGAATATTAATGAGTTAGTTAGTTAGTTAGAGCGTTTAGTTAGATATGACTAGGGAAAGAAGGATAAAAAAGATTGACATTTATAGTTATTGCAAATTGAGCATTAGCTCTTTGTGAAAGGAGAACACCTTCAAGAATGGGAAACCCTTGGAGGAGAGATTTCTCTCCTATTTGTTGTTCTTTCCATCTTACTCAATAAAATGAAACTTCATTTTAGAATTAACCAAACCACACTGAAAGTACAATAAAATAAGAGCAGGCCTAATTCCAGCTTAATTTTCACAGAAGAAGCAATTTGAGCACTAAAAAATAAATATATTAAGACATCTCTATTAAATCAATGAATGAAATAGAAGTTAGTGGGAACTATGATTCCAGACCAATTGTCAAAAGGGAATTCTGCTCAGCTGTAACACAGTATGAATGTTTAAAATGCAGTAATACAAACTGGTGAAGCAATGACATTTAAATTACTCATACAAAAGTACCATTTAAATTTTTTACAGAAATTATGGATAGTTAACAACCTGCTCAGCTGGCCAGTTATATACCATAGACATCATTTCACCACGATCCTGAGCACTGAAATACATTCCTCTTGGTCTTCTAAACAGTCCACTATAGTTCTGACATACAAGACCCACTGTTGGAGTGTAAACTATTGGTGCATATTCCTCTATTTTGGCAATTAAAACCTGACAATACAAGACATGTCATTTAAGTTTACATCATTATTTGGGGGAAGGGGCGAGAGATTTGGACAATGCAAGAGAACATCTTCAATTATTTACAATATGCATATTACTAAATAGGGTAAGTTTAATTTTCCATGGCATAACTTCAGAAAATATACTACACAAATGAAGACAAAAAAAAAAAGTATGATGCAATATAAAACTCTTACTTGTCATAAGTTATGTGAGTTCCAACAAAAAATACTGGTTTTGACACAAATGTCAGTCCTAAAAGTATCAAATTTCAATTTTAATATTATATATAATTGATTAATTGATATTTCATTCGTACAGTAATATTCTGTTCCAGAACATGACATAAGTCTGACTGGTCAGCCCCAATCTACAACCCACTACTACCCACCTTGGCACTGACATCCTAGCTTGGAACTACTGACTGACATTTGGCATATGCATAGGTCTCATGTCCCTTCAACATGGGAAATAGCATGAGCTACTTAACAGAAGACCGACCCAATTTGGCCCATATAACAGAAGAACAGCCCAATTCTAATATGCTGTTCACATGCAATGTGTGAAGAGTGCATCTTTCTATTAGTTGTTAAGACTTTAGTTATTTTGGTTTTATAACAGCTGTACCCTTCTCTTTATTTTAGATAAGAGACTCCTGTAGTTCTGTGTAAAATGGATATAGACGTTTTCTTTCTCCTCTCTCTCTCTCTCTCAAGAATAGGAATATGTTATCAAGAGCCTGAAGATCTTTATGGCTGAAATTCCTCCCCCTCCTTTCCCTTCCTTTGCTGTCTTTGTAAATATTTCTAAAAATTAGATGATTGCAACTTTCTGCTTTGGCGGCAGCATGTGGAGTTCTCTATCAAGTCGCACTGTCTTCAACACCTAGTGGAAAATCCTGCATCAAGTTTGTGCCATCGAATAACTTCTAATAAAAAAAGGTTATAGTTTATTCAATCTTTCAATCATATGTAGTTATTATGCTAATGCTGCACAAAATTTTCATAAATTTTAAGGAATTGCAATTACAGACTACCCTGCAAATGGAAGACTTTGTCCTAAAGCTCCCAAAAAACACTCATAATGTTTTTAACAGATGTAGGTTGAATATAAGTTGACATCAAAGTACAACGAGAATATTCATCAATGAATGCCAAAAAAGAATGAAATCCAAAAGAGTGCAATAGAACACAACGGATGTAAATATACCTTATAGTACATAGTCTCATTCCTGTCATGCAAGCGATTAAGTATCCGCCACTTGGCCAATGCATTAGGATCAGAAGGTCCATCTCTTGCTTGAACTTCAAGCCTCTTCAGATCAACCACTGTCAACACAAGAATTTTAGCAACAATTATTTTGTGGAGTACTAATAGAAAACATATAAATAAATACAACTATATAAGAGAAAAAAAACAATCAGAATCCTTATTTCTCATCGCCAAAGTATCAACATGAGAGTAAGCATGATCAGCCTGTCATCTATATTTCAGTTAGATGCAAATAAATTTCAGTGTAAATGGGCAAATGTATTCAATACATTCAGCACCAGCCTCTAGAGCCCTTATGGCAGAGACTCTTAAAAAAAAGGCATATCAAAATAAAATATTTAAAATGTTAAAAGAAAAATAAAGTAATTGAAGGAGTTTTCTGAATTGTTTCAGGCAGTCCAAAGCAGTAACACAGTTCTCAACCATTTCATATGCTAAACTTTTAAAATAGAACAAAAAACAAACAACAGTGTTTCAGAAATACAAAGCTATCCTCTCTTTATATATCCATAATGAAAATTATCTAAAGAACAATGAAGGGGCCTGAGTCCAGGGAAAACAAAGAAACATACTGAAGCGTTCAATCTGTAGGTCAGGAGACATAACATTTGGAGGAAGCAGTCCCCGTAGATCAAGACGATCTCGTTCTGTCATGGAAAAAGCTGTTCCCTAATTTTAAAATATGAAAGTTAACATAATACTAAATCATATAGAAGTTTATAGGAAAATTAAAAAAATATCTACCAAAGGAAGAAAAGCGATGCAAAAAACTCAATAGAAAAAAACTGAAATTTATCTTCAATCTGGCACCAAAAAACAGACTAGGCAGAAATATAAGAATGCAGGAAATTGTCCACATATATCAGGGGCACTTGCTAGCTTCAAGTAAAACAAGCAGAAGACAGGATAATTAATCTATGGATTCTGGCTCTAAAGAATAATATGAATCAAATTATAAGAAATAGGCTGGGCCTAGCTTCGAATGCAATAGCAGCTGGATCGACCACATTCATCCTCAACTCCTGCAAATTTGTTATTCACAACCCAACCAAATCTGCAACCGCAAGCACAGTTCAAACTTGTTTACATTAAATAACCTACTCATTTATCAGAGAACATACCAAAGAGAAAACCCACCTAAAAAGACCCATGACCAGGAACATACACAATGCTTCAAACTATGCACACAAAATATCCATCTTCATATTAACAAAATTACAAAACAAATTAACAATAAATAAATAAAACTACTTCAAACTTGCTTCAAGAAACAGCCCCTTCCCAAAGCATTAATTAAACAATTAAAAAAATTCAAATTAAGATCAAACTAACACAAAATAAGCAAACAGCATCTGTGAAAGTAAGCAACAGCATACATGAAAGCAAAATAGAAACATCGAAGCCTTAAGTAAACTATCATGACTAAAGGGTGGCAACCCTTAGTTTCACCTTATTTAGAATCATGTAATAGTAGGCCCTTGCAGAGCATTGTCTCATATGCACTTAAAGAGCAGATAAGAAAATAAAATGAATTGAGTTTCTCTCGTAAGCTAAAATCAACTTATGCACTTAACTTTTATAAAATATCTTTCCTTTAATTTCTCTAAAAGCTAGTGCAAAGTTATTCTAAGTTCATAAGAGAAACTTAATTAATTTATATTTATGAGAAACTGGAGTTGCCTAACTTAATCCTTAAAAACTGGTTTATAAAGTGAGGTTTACATCCACTTATATATTATAATTTGGTCATATCTCTGGTCAATATGAGATCTTCAACATACCTTTTCACATTGACGATAGGACATCTCATGTGTGAGACTAGAGATTCATTAGTGGTCTGACAGGCCCAACACACCTTGGTAGAATAAGCTTTGATACTATCTAAGAAAGTGCATTTACACCTAACTCAACCATATAAAACTACTTTGTAAGGTGAGGTTTGCAACCACTTATATGGTATAATCTAGTTATATCTCTCGTCGATGTAGGGTCTCTAATAATATTCCTTTTTTTTTTTTTTCTCAAACAAGTGGTTACAGAAAAATTAACCAAACGAGTCAAATTCATAAACAATATCTGAAACGATATGAACCATTTTAAGTTTATTTTAATGATCCATAAAATGAAGCTTATCTTTGAACTACCACTTGTTTTAAGTTACTCAACACACAATGCCTAATTAAAATTGCAAAATTAGTCACCACTTCTTAAATTTAGAAAAAGAAAAATGGTGTTTGAAGGATTAACTTAGCAACACTGAATCCTTAACTAGATTATCATGACCAGGACACTTATTAAGTTTACTTATTTTCTCTTATTTGAACTTCTCTATAGTACACTTGCAAAGCATTTTATACTATTTTGGATGAACTTATAAACAATATCTAAAACTCATGTAAGCTGTTTAAAACTTATTTTCATGATCCAGTCTCAATACTTCTTCATAAGCATTTAGAGAAAAAGAAAGTGAATTAAACTTCTCCTATAAACTAAAACTAACGATGTTATTCGCCTTTTGGACAAATTAAACCAGAGAACTTCTATAAACGTAAAGTATATAAGTTTGGTTTTAACTTATAAAAACACCACAAACTCAATTTATTTTGCCTAATTATTTTCATAATCTTGAAGGTTATGAAAATATCTAGGGCATCAAATTACCACTAGTTAAAATTTATCCACCCAAGCAATGCCTAAACAAATTGCAAAACTATTGACCACCTATTAATATTAAATATATATATATATATATATATATATATATATATATATATATATATATATATATATATATATGAGTTGTGTGTGCGAGCTAGCTTATTTTCTATTCAAAACAGCTTATACAATCCAAATCATCACAATCTCATCGATTAATCAAAATAAAATACCACAAAAATTAAGAAAATGGTAAACGAGATTAAATACTTTATTGAACCAAGGATCATGGAGGATGTCGAGGCTGCGTTTGTGGACGATGGAGGGACGGTGGCCCTCGGTCGTGGTGAACGGCCGGTACAGCAGGTGCGCGCGGGTCACATGTGGCCTCAGCAGCGACAACGACACCCTCGCGTGCTTCAACAACATCGCCATTTTGGTCTGCGAAAACGAGATCTAATGAATAGTGTATGAATCCAGTGGCTCGCGCACTCGGACTTATAAGTGTTGAATCGATATAGCGTCGTTGCGAAATGTCACGAGTCAACCAATGACGCTTGCTCAGAATTGAATTGGGGAGGTTGGGTGTGGGGTACGTAGTGATTTTCTCTACTGCATAATCATCATTGCGGTCAAGAAAGGGACAAACATTTCACGGATGAAAATGGAACATAGAAAATTTAGTTCATGAAATAAATAAAATTATTACTTTGTCTGTAAACGTATGAAAAGTGTAATAATTGTATTGTTGGTGTATAATTAATTGAAAATAAGTTCATTGAATATTGAATTAGTCTTTGAGAAGATAATTTGTTAAATTGATCATTATAAATTCTGTTTAATGATAAAATTATTTTATGACAGAATACATTTTTTAAAAATATGTTTTTACTTGAGAAAATAATTTTTGTAAACGTTTTTTAATTTTAGTTTCTCTAGAGTTAACCATAAGTAATTTTTATTTATTTTATGTTAAAGAAAAAAATATAAACTAGATTTTAGTATTACAGTATAATGTTAATATATGATATCTAGAAAAAATAAATTTATAAAAAATATATATTATTTATCTTTAAATTAAATGTAATATTAAAATCAATAATTTTAAATATTGGAAGGAGAAAATTAAATTATGGTAATAATTAAAAATGTTGTTGGTGAACGTGGGTTAAAGTAAATGACGTGCTACATCTCATGGGAATGAGAATATTTCCATTTGAACGTAGAATTTATTTGTGACTTTTAAACGCGGGGAACCAGTCAACTAAATTTTCCTCAAACGCTACAGGGACCATAGAACTTCGTTTGGTTTTATATTTTTGGATTTTATTTATTTTTACAACCTTCTTTCGCGTATTTTTAAATTGATGATTGTTATTTATATTTTTCTGATTTCATTTCATATTTTTAAAAAATCGAATTGTTAAAATTTCGAAGAAAAATAATGTTAAACTTGTAACATTTCTGAAATACATATGAGATTTAAACTTTTTGCAGAAAATCTAATAAAAATAATAATGAAATTGGAGGAAATTCAAGCGGAAAAAAATTTCATGATTAAGGTTCTCAATTATTCTGTGGACCAAAACTTTAGTAAAGTACTTTTTTAAGTTAATCCTATTATAACATGACAGGTATAGATTATTTTTTCCAATAAGTAACTCAAGATACAAATTTATTTGGGACTCTAGCTTTCTACACTCCCCTAAAAAAATTTTCTTGTATTTTCATATTAAGTAAAATATCTAAAATATTTTTTACATAATTTTATTTTTTTATCCTAACTTTTTTTTTCTTTTTTTTTTTATACAACTTCTATATTTTCCTTCTTTAGCATTTTCATTCTTTGATTATTTGATTTTTTTTTGTATTATCACCTTTAATTGAAGGTCTTTTTCAACAATTAAAGTTAAGTAATCATTAACATTATATTGTTTTTTTATTCAAATTGCACAAACAGACCAAAATTACTCAATCTAAAATAATATCGCAAAAATGAGGTTGAATTCGAAAAAGTCAATCCAAAATATATTTTCGAATTGATTTCTCTAGAAACGTATTTCAGAATGAGTGTTCTAAAATGTGTTTTTAGAAAAATATTTTTGAAAATGTATTATGGATTGAATGTTACTGAATATATTTCCAAAAAGGTCGATCCATAATGCATTTAAAAAACAAAAATAAGTGTAAGGGAAAAATGAGGTTTAATATAATTATGGGGTACTGGGAGAAATTATAGGGGTGGAAGAAGCACCAACCTTTATTTGGGCTCGATAATTCTAGTTTTCATGTTTTTGTTAACTCCTTTTTAAATATTTTTGGATGAAAAAAAAATCAAATCGATCTTGGTCATGAGATTTGAGAATTTTATTTATTAGACTTAAAAATCTTTATAAGTTTTAATTTAAAAAATAATAAAATAATCATAAATTACATAGAATAATAGATTTTAGGATATAATTAGTTATTAAAATTAATAAGTTTAATTAACATTTATATTATAATTGAAAATGCATTGTTATAATTAACCATATATAAAAATAGAACTTATTCACCTTTAGTAGTTTTTAAATATAAATTTACAAATAAATTTAAGAAATATATTTAATGTTATAAATATAAATATATATATATATATATATATTAAATAATGAGATATAGAAAATTTATATGTAATTAGAAGATTATGTTGTTAATATATATCAATTACTTAACTAGAAATAAAGAAAAAAAAATTATAATAAAACTTGCACACTTAATAATATTAATAGACTTTAGTTTTTAGTAATAGTTAAAAAATTATTCAAATTTAACTATATCTAATATTTCTATCCTTAAATTGAAATATCTCATATAATATCTAAGATCATCTCAAATATTTAGTTTACAATAAAATCTTTTAATTTGAGTGACTTAATTATTACATCAATTATTTGTTCTTGTGAATTATAGTGCTATTGTTCAATGATTTCATTCTTTATAAGATATTTTACAAGTGAAAATATATATGAATGTGTTTACTCATTTCATACATGATTGGATTCCTCAACAATTTCATGGTGAAACTATTATAATAATAGATAATTATATGATGTTCGATTTCTTTACCTTACATCTTGTAATGATTTAAGTCACACATTTTGATAAGAACTTGTTGTTGCTACTATAAACTTTGTTTCAATAGTTGAAATATTCGTTACTAATTGTTTATTTAAATTCCAAAAAATAGTTGTTGTGCTCATCATAAATATATAGCCAAATATCCTTTTTCTATCTTGAACATCATTAGCATAATCACTCCCTCTGGATTCAATTAAATTTTTGCTTCAATTTTTCTTATAGAAAAATCCAAAATTACAAGTCCATTTGAGATAACACATAAATCCACTTTACTTCCAATAAATGAAACATTTTTAGATTTTCTATAAACCAACTCACTTGGTTCACAATATATTAACTTGTATAATATCTTATCTACTCCTTTTCCATCTTCATTTTTACTCAATTTTCTTCTTGGAGCCATCACATTATAAATAGGTTTTGAATTGCTCCTTTCAAATCCTTCTAGAAAATCTATCATGTATCTCTTTTGACACATAAATATACCATCAACCTTTTATGTTACTTGAAGTCCAAGAAAGAACTTAATTTTTTCTATGTCAATCATAGAAAATTATGATTGCATGGATTTCTTAAAATCTATCATCAACTCATCTTTATTCCTTGTAAAAATCAAATCATCCACACAACTTATTACCATAATACCATTTGCTTATACCTTAGTGAATAAAGTTGTCTCATGCTCACATTTAGCAAATCCATGAGTAAGAAACTATTTTTCAATATGAATGTATGAAACCCAAAGAGCTTGTTTTAAATCATAGAGAGCATGGTTCTACTTGTAAACTTTTCTCTTTGTTTCTCAAAATCTTGTGATTGTGTTTCTGGTGAAATTTCGATCGATTTCGATTCTAAGGGTGTTTTGGTCCTAATCAAAATTCTACCACGTAAGCTCTTTTTACTTAGGCTAGCAATTTGATTTTCAATCGAAAACGTGTATGAGAATCGAAAACTCCAGGATATCGAAAATGCTGTTTTTGGTGTTTTGTATTTAAAGTATCGAAAACATTTAGACTATCGAATCGAAAAGCAGAATATTAAATTGCGAGGAAATGTAAAATGCGAGAACCCCAAACTTGCATTAATTGTAAATAACGAGAAATCGAAAACAACACAAATATAAATGACAAGAAATCGAGATTGCAAGAAAAGTAAATGACAGGAAATTGAGATTTGCATAATGTTAAATAACAGGAAATCTAAATGCAAAAACTCAAATTTTCATTGAATTGAAATGGACAAGGAATCGAAATACAGAAACATAAAACTGCTGAATTTAAGTTGCATCAAAGTAAATTACCAAGGAAAATATAGAAAGCGGTAAATGTACTCAGTGAGCAAGGAAATCCAGATTGCCAGAAGCTTCATGGTGTTCGTCGTTTCTCCGGTAGACTTTTCACTACTGATCCTGTTCTCTGCCAATTTCTGCTCCCCAGTTCCTTTCTCCTTTGCTCTATTTATAGGGCATCCTTCAAGCCTTCCGAGAGCAGTTAACGCGACTGCTACCACGTTCTACGTGCGTATGGCAGTTTATCTTCTATAGTTTCCCACGTTCTCACGATCTCCGACTTTTTCCCATGATTTCAAAACTGCTCTTTATACGTGCATTCGACTTACTTCCTTTCACGATTTGGCCAAAGTTTCGATGTCCACATTGACTTTCCTTACCCTCAATTCTGTATTTTTTGGAAACTTCGAATTGCTTACGATTCCTTTTTAACCCTAGTCTTACATGACTTAGTTTTTATTCGACAACAGTCATTTGATTATTATTCGTTCGATTCTCGATTGTGCTTCTCGATGCTATATGCTATGTATTTCTAATTAGACATCGAATGAATTTTTGTTTATCTTATCGAGTCACATTTCTTTCCTTCGATTTCGATCGCTTTTCTCGATTTGCCACTAACAAAATGCCCCCTTGGAAGAATATAAATGATTTCTGTTTTATATTCTTTCAATATTCCCGTCTTAGTGTTTGAAAGCCCACAGGATTTAGGGTTTAGGGTTTCTGGGGTTCTAGGGTTAACAAAGGGTTTTAGGTTTCTTTTCCACTTTACGTCGCCGTCTCGTCAGTCTGTTGCCTTTCAGTACAAGTTTCATTAATTACCTTTCCCTTCCGTCGTTTCCAACTCCCTAGACGATTTTCCCCTTAACCTCTCCCTTAGTCTTCACTCTGGTTTTTACGCGAACTATCACCCTCTTTGCAATCTCATCTTCTCCCTTGAGCTCCTGCCTTCGTCCCTGTTACCTTATCCATTAACGCTTCTCTTTCTGTCTTCCTAAGCTCACTACAATGCCCAGCTCATCAAAAT